TTCATAAGCATACCATGTTGTCATGTGGTATTGTAACCGCCCTCTATGTCAAAGAACACAGCTCCCCCATGGCGACGCTGTTAAAAAGTAGCGCGGACAACAGTTTCCAATGTAAAAAGATGGTCCAGTGTGTAAAGGTGTTTCCTAAAACCACACTGAGAATCAGTCAAAATGGGATGTTTCTCTGAAAACCACAAAAGACGACCATTGACGAGTCTCTCCATCAGCTTGCACAGTGAAGGCGTAAGAGAGATGGGCCTGTTGTGAAGCGGACCGTTGCCGCTCTTACCTGTCTTTAAAAGGGGCACCACAACAGCCTCTCGCCAAATGTTTGAAATTCATCTCGTCCCCAAAGACGATTAAAAATGGCCAAAAGAACGTTTAGTACGCAGATGGATAGATGTCGAATCATGTCGTTATGTATCTCGTCAGGACCCTCTGATACGCCCCGAAGCCTGCTAACAGCTGCCCTCAGTTCCACCATTGTAAGTGGTTCGTTGTAGGCAGGGTGTACAGAGGTGGAAAAGTCCACTGGACTGGCCTCACAACGCGCATTATGACGCAGGAACTGGGGATCAACGTTACCTGTCTCCAAAATATTCCGCAAGCGCACGACCGATCTCGTTAGCGACGTCAGCAGGCTGCAAAATGTTCCGCCCACCAATCTCAAGAAACCGGTGGAGGACCTGCGGAAAACTGGCCAGAGATATGCTCAATCTGCGACCATACTTGCGACATAGGATTGACACGATTTAGGCGTCCCACATATTCTTGCCAGGATACGCGCTTTGCCTCCCGGATGGTGCGCCGGGCCAAAGCACTCGCTTTCCTAAATGCGATTAAATCATCGGTTGCGGCGTGGCGGTCGAAGGCCCGAAAGGCCCCGCCTACCTGCCCGGATCACAGCTCGGCACTCTTCGGCCCACCACGGCACCGGGGTGCGACGAGGAGCCCCAGATGTCTTTGGGATGCTTGCGCTCGCTGCACGTCAAAGCGCGGGCGTGAAGCGTTCGATCGAGTAGTTTGCATCATCCACGGCCTGTGCACCAAAGCCCATCTCTAGCTGAGACTCAAACTCACTCCAATCTGCTTTTTTGAGATTCCATCGTCGTGGTCGGGGACCGAGAACCGCTCCGTCGTAGTACTCCAACCACACTGGGAAGTGGTCGCCTCCCATAGGGTCGTCGGCTATAGTCCGCGTAAAAAGCTGCGCGAGCTGTGGACCTCACAAGGCTTAGGTCCAAAACCGACGTCTGACCTGACGGTAACGTAAAATGCGCCCTAGATCCCGTATTCAATGCACAGAGCGACTCCTCGTGAGTAAATTACTCTAAAGAACGTCACCGCGCGTTGCTGTCATCACAACCCCAAACGGTATGGTGTGCGCTAAAATCTCCCAAGATAACCAAAGGCGGGGGGAGCTCTGCCATCAACTGTCTGAGCCCCAAGATAACCAAAGGCGGAGGGAGCTCTGCCATCAATTGCCTGAGCCCCAAGATAACCAAAGGCGGAGGGAGCTCTGCCATCAACTGTCTCAGCTGCACCAATGAAAAACTGAGCCCCGGGGTAAATACACTGCGCATAGGGTTACAAGGCGATTAAAATGTACACGTGCAGCAACAGCTTGGAGCGAGGTTTGCAACATCAGCTGCTGCGCAGGCACACTGTGGTGCACTGCTGACAGCACACCACCGTGCGCCACAGTGTCTGGTAGCACATTTTTTCCAAATATTGAGCAACCTTTGATGGTGCAGTGAGAATCCGGCGACAGCTTCGTCTCCCGGAGGCAGACCACAACCGGACAACGGTGACTAAGCACAGCGTGTAAGTCCTGGGCACTGATTCGTAAGCCTGTACAGTTCCATTGCAGAATAGCCTGCATAAAACCTGGTTAAAAATGAAGCTGAAAACTACGAAGCTAAGAACAAGATGGGCTGCGTTAAAAGGTGACATAAAACTGTTACGGATTGTAAAAAGGACTAAGCTGACTAGAAGTGTTCCGTTGCACCAGACGAAGGGCCCGGTCCCGTATCCTCCAGTCCGCCCCGGGGGCCCGGGGCGGAAGGAGGATATGACCGCCTCGGAGAAAACGGCGAGGTCGCCGTGGGGGGGGGGGGGGGGAGGGACTGAGCAGGCGCAGCGGAAGGCGGAGGAGGCGGCGGGGTACCCATTCGGGACGGAACAAGCGGCGGCCCAACGTGCTTGCTAGGCGTGGAAGCGCTCCCTCCCAAGGAGGACGGCACCCCATCAGCCACCGCAGAGGATGGCGCACCGCCAGCCACCGCCGGCACCGACGCCCCGGCGGACTCCAAGGGAGAAGACTTCTCGCCGTCCCCCACCGGGGCCGAGGAATCGGTAGTCCCGGGGACCGCCTGGCCACCCTCGCCTGCTCGACCAGACGCGCTCGCCTGGCCCCGCGGGCCCTTCTCACCACGTTCACGCAAGGCCTCCATCACTGTCTCGCTAGGTGAAGTTCGGTTCACAGTTGGGGGAGGCGCCGTGGTCGGCACAGTGGTCGGCGCCTATTTCCCAGAACGTGTCTGATTTGCTCGGGAGGGGCGCCCCTCCCGACCCCGACCAACCAGAGTCCACCCCTCGCCCTCCAGTGTCTTGCCGCAGCTACCGGCGGTGCGGTGGGCGCCGCGGACGCAGACGAAGCATGCGAACCCGTTGCCGGTCTGCAAGTCAACCCAAATGACTGGAGAAGTGCGATAAACTGCGTCAAGTTCATACGGTCCGAGCTGGCCTCACGATGAACCACGTTTGAGTGGGAGCTAGTCGCTACACTCGCGTAAGCTACTTTGGGATGCGAGCTATGGTAAATCTCCCTCTCTCTTCTCTCGGACAGAGATGCGCCGGGCGCACTTGATGGAGATAATCTCTTTCTTTCGAGAGTACGCCGAACAAGCACGGTCAAATGTCGTGCGCAGGATCTGGTTTCTGTCGCAATTCACACATTTCTGTCGCACAGCGCTGTAGTTCTCGCTAGTATGGTCAGTTTCAGCACACTTCCCATAAGACGGTTTGTTCCTGCAGTACTCTTGTATGGACAAAACGAAGACATCAAAAACAACGCATGGGGTTGGGAATGTACAGACGAATTTTCACTTTCACGTAACCGACGACTTTTTTGAAGGAAGATCCACGCGGTTGAAAGTCGGGATAATAGTGTTTGTTGGGACCAGGTGCTCCGCTCTCCTGACCTGGATCCGATGAGCTTCCACGACACCGAAACCAGACAGACCATTCATGATATCCTCCTCGCTGACACCCTCCAGGTCAACACAGTCAATGATCCCGCGAGAACAGCTTTTCGTTTTGTGAGCCGTCACCATGATGGGTAAAGTGACGTCTCGCCTTCCACCTTTATCTCTGACCGTGTATGTGAATGGCGTTGCCTTCATCGTCTTTTTGGCTTCCGCTGCATTCAAAAACTCCACTTCGATCGTTTCATTTCTAAGCTTGTCACAGCGCGTCAACTTGCCAAGCCGATCACATCCGCTACGCCGCTGAAAGGGCGACAGACTAGACAGATCCTTTTCACTACTGGCAAGCACAAGAACCCGGGAGCAAGACCGAGCAGTCTGCCCGGTAGTCCCCGGTACTCCCACTCTCCCACCTCTAGTCCGCTCCAACGGGGTGGAGCGGGAATCAGTCCGTGGCAGCGGTCTTTCACCCGTGCCGGAAAGACCGCTTCGCCCCTCCGCCGAAGGGGAGGAACGGTCGTCCATCGTCGTCAGCCGAGCCGTCTGAGATAAGGTGTCATTCCCATTGGGGTTGGTTGAATGAAAATGCATGCGAGTTTTTTGAAGCATACGGCACCGGGGCTCCCCACCCACCACGGAGCCCAATTGGGGGACGGTCCAACACTACCTCGGGAGGAGGTCATCGCCAGGGCTACCCCGGTGCTATACGGGGCGAACGACACCTCCCACACGGCCAGGTGTACCCGGGGAGACCCCTCCCCGCTCTGACCGTGGTCCAGCGCCGCCGCCCCCTGACCCCTTAAGCCGCTGAGCGCGGTCAGGCGCCTCAAGCGGAGACCCGCGAGGAGTTCCCAACCGCAACGCGAGCGACAAACCGCTAGACCCGTGTGGGGCCCCACGGCCCCCCCACACCCCCGGATATCCTGGCTGAAGTGGAGTGTTGGGACGCGCCGCGACTGACCCTCACGACGCGTCCCTCAGCCACCAGGATCCGATCAACCCGGGGTCGCGGGTGAGGGGGCACGGCGACCCCGATAAACGAGGGTTAGGAGTGACGAGTGGGCCGGATGCTGGAAAGCGGGTAATGGGGGGGGGGGGGGGGGGGGGGGAAGCAGGCGGGACAAGGAGCGGGGGCTCACGTACCGGCAGGGTCGCTACGCCCTGGGAGGAACAGCCTACGCTGTCCTACCGGATTCAGCGCTACCGGAGCTGGGACCCGAGGGGGCGCTAGTCCCCTACACCGACCGAAACCGGTGCCCCCGCGGGGCCTAATCCTGTGGGAACAGGTATCTTGATAAATTGTCAGCCAGTGCTGCAGTGTGGTTTCGATGAGATGGAGGGCATGACGAGTGCGTTTTTCTCACGCACACTGTAAAAAGGGACGGAACATCAATAGATGATTGTTAAATGGTCGGAAACGGGATAAGGAAGAACTCGCGCAACGCGCAAGAAGCGCACTTATCAGCTACGAAGTTGTGACATATGGTAGCGTTCTCTGAATATTAATGATGTCATTATTGCAGAGCGCCCCGAATATGGCTTAAATTGACAGTTTCATGACACAAAACCCACTTAGATTACCTTTTCGGGGTTTTGTTTTTTCATGATACTCCGTGTCTTGTCATGCAAGTACTTTATGCTTGTTGAATGGATTCACGGTAGCATCGACTCATTTTAAGAGCTGCCAATTTTTGCACGCTTTCCTGGCGCCTGAATGGTTTTGCAGAGGCCAGCCATCAATAAGTGGTGCCAGTGAATTAGTTAGGTTGCCTGCGGTCTTTAATTGATGTTGTCAGCGATTGATCAGCGGCGGTGCGCCCTTGTACTGAAGGGATAGTGTATACCGAGGTGAGTGGCAGGGAGCAAGAAAACCTTAAGGAACAAGCCGCCGGAGGAACAGTGGTTCCAGCTTGGAAGGTGGGCTGATGTAATATAGTTTTTTCGGTAACTTAAGGGGATTCTGACTGTCTTGGTCCCGCAATGTCCAGGCTGTGGTCATTTCCAATCATCGCTTGTACAAGTTGATACTCCTCAGGAACACTTCAACATTCACAGACAGCATAGCTAATGTGTATGAGACATTTGACAACTTTGACAACATTGAAAGTTTTTCAGCTGATAAGTCGAGGTCACTTGGCCATGCAGGTAAAATATTAGGCTGTTATTGCCCCTCCTGTTTTGCTTTGCTACTCTAAGGTGGCAGGTGGATGACTGGTTGCCTGTCACCTGGCAGTGGTGTTGTGAAGGAGGTGGGTTGTGTGACCTATGCCAGCCACGTGTTGGGTCCTTGCCTCTTCATTCTCAACTGAACAGCTTTCTCAGTTGTAGTTCAGAAATGACCACTGATCCCAGCAGAATGGTGTAGGAAGTTATTTCTGTGCAATAGACCAAATTATGGTTAGGTTTTGCATAACAGTAGTCTATTCTGCTTTTTAAAGTGAAGTACAGCATCACACTATTTACATCTCCTTCCTATCAGATATCCCACACATCCAGCTCATGCTTGATTGTCTTGTGTTGCACTCATTGTGGCATGCCTTTGGATGTGGTTGTCATTAATGGAAATGCACCAGGATCATGTTAAATTCCCTCTTACAATGGTTAGATATTTTACAGCAAGTACTCTATGTGCTGAGGGTACAACCATCATTAAGTGTGGGCCAAACTGTACTCATGGTGTGTTTTTGTTTCAGAGTTGCAGGCACATGCTTGTGTCATGTCGGGACGCAATGGGATTGCTGTACCACTGCATATACAAAGGCTGGAAAGAGCCCTAGATCTTACTGGGTTAATTGACCAGATCAGGAAATCTTCAGATAACCTTGGAAGGTAAGGGTAATTTCAGGTGCACAGAAGACATGCTGGTAATGTAACTTGTACCATGCAAGTACCCAAACAAGTACTGAAAATGGTTGGTACAACATGCTTATCCGTCTTGTTCATGAGCCCAGAATGGGGATCAATTCCCCTCCCTATCAGTAACGTATATTATCTAATAGTAATACAACTATTTCCAATGTATGTTCTTGAGCATTTACCTGCATTAGCTTTAACCTGAAAGGAGGTTGCACCAGATAACCTGAAGTAGTCTGGGCATGGTTGGTTATTCCAGGCCCTAGACCCTCCACTAGTTTGTGTCATGGCCTCAGCTCGGTTTTGGGCCAACTGGCAAAGATGTATCAACCCTCTGGCCAATGATAGTTGGCTTCCATGTGGCAATGGTCATTGCCTGGCACAGTTGTCAGCCCAAATTGTGTTTTCTTGACATATGATATTACGCTTAATAGGTGTGTGTATGTAAAGGTCCCATCAGACACAATAAAGCATTTGCTTCATCTTTGCACTTCTGCATTCTGTGTCTGTTGGCTTGAAGTTTGAAGTTGGCACATCTGCAACATGACTGCAGAATCCAGTGGTGTGAACTGTCTTGCTGTGAATGCTGCTGTATTTGGCCATCTTGTTTGATGGAATATGATTGCCTTGGTGAGTGTTAGTTGTTACATTGTTACTAGTGTTGCGGCTGGCTGGCTGGCAGTGTGACAGAATGGGAGCGGCTGCCGGACGGCCTGTCGGCCAGCCTGGCTGAGCTGGCCGAGCCGTCGGATGTGGAGACAGCCGACAGCGAGCCCGACCTGCCACCGCTGCCAGACTACGGTCGGTGGGGGTGCTTCAGTGGGGGGAGAGATGGCCTACGGTCGGTGCCGCCGCAGCGCCATTCCAGCGGGGGAACGCTAGCAGCAGAATGGCTCAGTAGTCATAACACTAAGCACTCCTCATCATGGCTACTCGCATCATGTTGATGCTTCGTCTAAATTGTTCTATAAAATGTTGATGGGCTGCCTCTCCGACACGTCCGCATAGGCGTGAGGTCGGCCGTGTGAGGCGTTGGTGACTTTGAGCAGGGCATTTTTATGCTCTCCTCTCCCTGCAGCAAGCACTGATCTTTCACGTATTGTCGCACTTTACTATCAGCGCCGACTGTTTATTTGAGTTGCTTGCCGTCGTGTGGCCATGGAGACTGGCTAATCGGACTGCCATCGGCCTGAATGGGGAGCAGGCTGTGGTAGGTGCTGTTGGTGACTGTCGGCCGTCAGCCCGGGCGGGCCGCGGTCGGCTGACCCGTCAGTGGGCCCTGCAGGCGGCTCGTGGCAGGACGGGGCCGAGCTGAGCCGCGCGCGCCGCCTGCTGGCCGCCGACCTGCTCGGCTCGTCCGAGGATGAGTGGCCGGACGAGGCGGCCGAGCTGGAGCGGCCGCTCAGTCAGCTGGACCTGGCGCGCATGTTACAGCAGCACCGCATGAAGAACAAGCTCAGCCGACAGTACCAGCTCAACCCGGTGGTGGGTGGTGCCGCGCCCTCCGGTGACGGCCGGGCAGGGTGGTGCCGGATCGCTGCCTGCCTGGCGGCGTGCGGCTGGTCATCGGCAGGGTTGGTGTGATGCGAGGGACCGCCACGTACCGACACTTTTAAAACGGAGAATAACGGATAGAACTCCATGTGGTGAGGCGTTTCTCGGCAGGAAGTGTCCTGTGTTGTCCAACGGATGAGCGACTGAGGCCTGTTGTAATTAGACGGCGGCTCACGCCGCCCATCTGGTGCCCAGTATTCGCCCTCTGTTGCCACGACGCTGCGCGACGCTTTACGCCACTGACATTCCTCGTCTGCGGACCGGCAGCCGAGCGGGCACATGTACTACTCGGCCGGCCTGCTGAGCGAGCTGGACCGACACCCGTCGGCTGGCGCGGCGGCGCCCGGACCCGGCGCCGCCGCCCGGCCCGACGAGGACGCCGACAACGAGGAGGTACGGCACGCTGCGACGCCGCCCATCCGGCCTCGAGCCGAGCTGCAGCGCTGGCGTCGGCGCCTCGTCGGTCGCGGCGTGTTTCACTCTTATAAGAATTGTTGTATGCGAGCTGTGGGCACAAACACGTATAACGTTGAATTGCGGGTGCCTTGTATAATCTTGCGGCTTTGTTGTCTCTGCAGTTTTTTGCCGTTCGCTATTTGTCTGTTTTTTGTTTTTGTTTTTCGCAATGCTACGGTTTTTACAAGTCCGATATTGTACAACGCTGTGTTGGACGGCGGTTACCTGCGGCGTGCGCGTGTATGCAGAGTTTCCTGTCGGTGGACGCTGGGTTGGACATGGAGCTCGGAGAACCGGACACCGACAGAGGGCCCCGCTACGGCGCCGCCAAGAAAGCTCGCGGAACCGCCGAAAAGCGCACCAAGAAGGCCATCAAACAGGAGAAGGACACACTCAAGGTGCCGTGCTGTGTGCCGATTGCGGCTGTATTTTTGAATGTCGAGTATGCCGGGGAACTGCTAAGTGCATCAGCGCTGCTGTTCGTCATCCATGACATTATTGGCACAGTTCTAGCTCCCGCAAGTACGTTGTTTGCCGTCATATGCTCCCGCCTCCCACCACTGCACTTGGCATACTTAGCTCACATAAACGCCATGCTCATCTGCTGGCTGTGCTCATGGCCGTGCTGATAGCCATACTTTCGGCTGGGTTGCCTTTTTTACCCTCCACGAGTCGACTGTAGAAGGCATGCCGCTGCTGTCTGCCTGGCAGCGGCCTGGCCGGCGCTGATGACCATGTCTCTCCGTCCGGCGGCAGGCTCTGGCCACGCAGCGCCGCAAGCTGTGGCTTTACATCAGCAAGAAGGAGATCGGCAAAGTGCAGCGCTCACTGGTCAACGGCCGCAAGGACAAGATGGTCATCCTGAAGCGGCTGGCCACCGGCTGTATGCGCGCCGCTCGTCAGAAGGCCGTCCTGGTACGTCGGGGGAAGGGGGTGAAGGACGAGCTGATGTTAGCGAGTGGGTTCTGCCTCCGCCGTCCGTCAGAAGGCCGTCCTGGTATGTCCGGGTGTGGGCGGGGCACCAGCTGATGTCGGCGGGCAGGGTCTGCCTCCGCCGTCCGCTGGAAGGCCGCACTGGTACGTCCGGGTCGGGACGAGCTGATGTCGGCGGGCCGTGGTGTCAGATAACGTGGCGTGATGCTGACGTCGACGTCGGTGGGTTTGGCCGTCGGTGCGCTGTCCGTTATGCCGATGGACACCATGACTTTACCGCTGGTAATTTAGAATCTGTGGCCAGCACACTGCCACATTTTCGCACGGCCAACCTAGTCAGCCTTGTGGTTTTCGGAGAATAGGTTGGCAGCAAAGAGGTGTATCTGCAAACGCGGTGCTGTTTCGTCTGTGTGTGATGCTAATAAGACGCCAAGTGCTGCGGCGCTTATGACCTATTGGTGTATGACTACTGTTTGTGCTGGTTCCAGTCCCAGAAGGCGGAGCGTGACGTACTGGGCCGGATGAAGCGGCTCACCCGAGAGATGCAGACGTACTGGAAACACTACAACCGGGTGGAGAAGGAGACGCGAAAGCGACTGGAGAAGGAAGAGATCGAGCAGAAGAAGATCAGCACCGAAATACTCGAGGTACGGCTGATCCAGTTATCCGTCTTTACATCAGGCTTAAGCTGAAACCCCTAAACGCTTGAGCGCATAAACTCGAGTTTGACGTTATGAGAACCGAGCCGTATTTTGAGCAAGCAGGTGAACTGGCATGTGTACAAAACTAGCTTCCCAGACCAGTTGCAATGCTGCAGTAAGCTACCCGCGACCTGGTACTCTCTTGTGAAGCGTACTGATAGGTGGATACTGATGGAGAGGGGGTCAGAACGCATGTATTGCCGGGTAGTCAGGCCCAGACATGTTCAAGCACAAATTAAAACTGCTCCAGCAATGCCGCAGTAACTGGCTGTTCGCCCCGGAACGACAAAGTGCCGGTAGGCGGCGGCTCCATCCCTGGCCTCGCTCCCGGGCATGTGTTCGGCCGGCGCGGTCTGCAGACGCCACAGTCCGTACGCCGAGCCGGCGCGGTCTGCAGACGCCACAGTCCGTGTGCCGAGCCGGCGCGGTCTGCAGACGCCACAGTCTGTGTGCCGGCGCGGTCTGCAGACGCCACAGTCCGTATGCCGAGCCGGCGCGGTCTGCAGACGCCGCGGTCCGTGTGCTGAGCCGGCGCGGTCTGCAGACGCCACAGTCCGTGTGCCGGGCCGGCGCGGTCTGCAGACGCCGCAGTCTGTGTGCCGGCGCGGTCTGCAGACGCCACAGTCCGTGTGCCGGCGCGGTCTGCAGACGCCACAGTCCGTGTGCCGGCGCGGTCTGCAGACGCCACAGACCGTGTGCCGAGCCGGCGCGGTCTGCAGACGCCACAGACCGTGTGCCGAGCCGGCGCGGTCTGCAGACGCCGCAGTCTGTGTGCCAGCGCGGTCTGCAGACGCCACAGTCCGTGTGCCGGCGCGGTCTGCAGACGCCACAGTCCGTGTGCCGAGCCGGCGCGGTCTGCAGACGCCACAGTCCGTGCGCCGAGCCGGCGCGGTCTGCAGACGCCACAGACCGTGTGCCGAGCCGGCGCGGTCTCTAGACGCCACAGACCGTGTGCCGAGCCGGTGCGGTCTGCAGACGCCACAGTCCGTGTGCCGAGCCGGCGCGGTCTGCAGACGCCACAAACCGTGTGCCGAGCCGGCGCGGTCTGCAGACGCCACAGTCCGTGTGCCGGCGCGGTCTGCAGACGCCGCAGTCCGTGTGCCGAGCCGGCGCAGTCTCTAGACGCCACAGACCGTGTGCCGAGCCGGTGTGGTCTGCAGACGCCACAGTCCGTGTGCCGAGCCGGTGCGGTCTGCAGACGCCACAGTCCGTGTGCCGGTGCGGTCTGCATACGCCACAGTCCGTGTGCCGGCGCGGTCTGCAGACGCCAAAGTCCGTGTGCCGGCACGGTCTCCAGACGCCTCCGTGTGCCGGCGCGGTCTGCAGACGCCACAGTCCGTGTGCCGGCACGGTCTCCAGACGCCTCCGTGTGCCGGCGCGGTCTGCAGACGCCACAGTCCGTGTGCCGGTGCGGTCTGCAGACGCCACAGTCCGTGTGCCGGCGTGGTCTGCAGACGCCGCAGTCCGTGTGCCGGCGGGGCCTGCAGACGCCACAGTCCGTGTGCCGGCGTGGTCTGCAGACGCCACAGTCCGTGTGCCGGCGCGGTCTGCAGACGCCACAGTCCGTGTGCCGGCGTGGTCTGCAGACGCCGCAGTCCGTGTGCCGGCGCGGTCTGCAGACGCCACAGACCGTGTGCCGGCGTGGTCTGCGGACGCCACAGTCCTTGTGCCGGCCGGCCGGTCGTGCCTAGCCGGCGCCTGACATCTCCCCGCCTCCCCGGCAGGCCAAGCGGCAGCAGCGCAAGCTCAACTTCCTGATCACCCAGACGGAGCTGTACGCGCACTTCATGGGCCCGAAGGCGGCCGGCCGACGCGAGGAGGCCATTCTGGGACATCTGGACGAGGCGGCCGCCGACGCGCGCATCGCCAGCATTGACGACTACGACAGGTGGGGGGCGGGCGGCGCCCCCGGCCGGGCGGCGCAGGCCTGGGTGGTGGTGCATGGCGCCGGACGCACCCGCCGCACAACCGTCGGCATGTTTGAAGCGTGGGGAAGTGCTTCAGGAATTGGCGCGGGTGTTGTCAGGATGTGAAGTGATATTGGCCCTTCTCTCTTGCTGAGCCAATTAGCGGTGGTTCAGCGCATTATCTCAGCAAGCGTCAAACCACCTGGGGTGCCGCGTGTGATACGTGGCTTCGTGTGACGAGACCCCACCGCGTGGTGACCTCGTGGTCCTGCCCCGGCAGTGAGGCGGCCAAGACTCTGGCGCTGGAGAACGCGCGCGCTGCCGTGGAGCGCAGCCGGCAACACATGGGGCTGTTCGACCGGAGCTCGGGCCATGCCTCCGCCGCCGCCGCCGCCCCCGATGAGGCGGCCCTGCGGCTGGATCAGCCGGAGGCGGCCCGCGAGTACCCGCAGCCGGCCCTCTTCCAGGGCGTGCTCAAGACGTACCAGCTTAAGGGCATGAACTGGATCGCCAACCTGTTCGACTCGGTCAGTGCATGACCGCAGGTCCCGGTGCCGGGGGGCAGGTAGGACAGGCGCAACCAGTTCGTCCACTCGAGTGCTATATAAGCCAGACCACGTCAGTCGTGGGTGAACTTGAACTGAAAGTTCAGGATTCATCGGTACCATCTCAGTCCTTCAGTGGTAATGAAGTCGTTGAAGTATTTCAGGGTACCATAACGATTCATGCCCGGAGCAGAAAGATACTCCCTGCTCGGGGTCGGCTGCTAATTACACAGTACGTCTCCCGACACCAACCGTGCGCCGCGTCCCGACAGGGCATTAACGGCATCCTGGCGGACGAGATGGGCCTGGGCAAGACGGTGCAGACGATCGCCTTCCTGGCCCACCTGGCCGAGCACTACGGCATCTGGGGGCCGTTCCTGGTGGTGTCGCCCGCCTCCACGCTGCACAACTGGCAGCAGGAGCTGGCTCGCTTCCTGCCGGTCTTCAAGGTCGTGCCGTACTGGGGCACCACCCAGGTGGGTGGCCGGCGCTCGGTTCCGGGCGGCCGGGCTGTGCGTCGGCTGAGCCGCCTTATGTGGGCTGCACGGGGCTGCATTGCCCACCGGTGCCCGGGGCCCAGTGTGCTCCTGTAGTCAGCCGACTTGTAAGGCGTATCGATGGCGTTTACAGGGAGCTTGATGTTTCGGGACTTTGTTACGATACTTCTGTTCCAAAAGAAATAAGTATGCACTTGTTTCTCAGCTGTAAGTATGCACTTGTTTCTCAGTCGAATTGTATGCCACAGCACAAAATACTGAGTAAAACTAACCCAGATCTCAAGCCTTGTGCCGGCACAGCGTCGTGGCGTCGTGGCGCGTGTTTGCTGCGCTCTGAACGCCAGCTAGCAGCCCAGTGTGGCCGGGGCTGAAGGCTGACCCTCTGTCCGCCGCGTGCCAGGACCGTAAGGTGCTGCGGACCTTCTGGGAGCCGACCAACATGCACACGAAAGAGGCCAGCTTCCACGTGGTGGTGACGTCGTACCAGCTGGTAGTGACCGACATCAAGTACTTCAGCCGCATCGACTGGCAGTGCATGGTGCTGGACGAGGCGCAGGCCATCAAGAGCACCAGCAGGTCAGACTGAGGCGGCGGCCGCCTGCCGTGTGATGCAGCACGGCACACTCAGGCAGATGGGCCGGTCAGCCCACCTGCTGGGGACTCAGGCAGTGGGGGTTGTCGGCGCCCGTCAGGGCTTGCAGATAGCTGAAAGTGGATGCGTCTGTGTGCCAGCCGGTCAGATGTATGACGGGACACCAGTCAGGCAGGGTACTCCCACATTGGCTGGGCCGGCTGGCTCGCTGTTATGGTGAGCTGGGAAGCTGTCATTCGCGGGCTCGGGTCTTCGTTGCTGACCGGTCGCTTCGGGTCCACCGATCCCTCGTGACGTGTCGGCCGGTGTGTTCGGCGCGGCGTGACGCTGCTCCCCCACGCGCAGTCAGCGCTGGAAGATGCTGCTCGGCTTCAAGTGCCGCAACAGGATCCTGCTGACGGGCACGCCCATCCAGAACTCGATGGCCGAGCTGTGGGCGCTGCTGCACTTCATCATGCCGTCCCTGTTCGACTCGCACCGCGAGTTCAACGACTGGTTCAGCCGCGACATCGAGAGTCACGCCGAGAACCGCGCCACCATGGACCAGAGTGAGTGGCGCCGGGCCGGCCTGGTCTGCCCGCCGCGGCGGGCGGACGTCGGCCGGTCCGTGACGGGCTAGCCACCATGCTCTCATTCTGGCCTGCGACCGCTGCTGGTGCCGCCAGCTGGCCTCCGTGGCTTTGTTGTGTGACGACGACTGCTTCCGGCGCTGCTGCGGCTGATTTTTCTTCAGCTTGGCGTTTCTGACTGTGTTCTGTAGAATGTTCACAGATTGGTGAGCGTGCGTGCACAGAGGTCTTGTCCTCCAAAGTGGAGTGCCGTGACTACCACGTCATGTTGTGATCTGGCTCTCTGGCGCCCGCCGGACCCTCGGCACGGCCAGTGCGGACAGCGGACCGTCGTTGACGTGCGCTTCTCTGCCGTGCTCTGTCTCAGCTCACCTGGGCCGGCTGCACATGATCCTGAAGCCGTTCATGCTGCGCCGCGTGAAGCGCGACGTCGAGAACGAGCTGACGGACAAGATCGAGATCATGGTCTGTTGTCCGCTCACCATCCGACAGCGGCTCCTCTACCAGGTGAGGTCGGCCGCTCGGGGGCTGACGGACAAGATCGAGATCATGGTCTGTTGTCCGCTCACCACCCGACAGCGGCTCCTCTACTAGGTGAGGTCGGCCGCTCGGGGGCTGACGGACAAGATCGAGATCATGGTCTGTTGTCCGCTCACCACCCGACAGCGGCTCCTCTACCAGGTGAGGTCGGCCGCTCGGGGGCTGACGGACAAGATCGAGATCATGGTCTGTTGTCCGCTCACTATCCGACAGCGGCTCCTCTACCAGGTGAGGTCGGCCGCTCCGGGGCTGGCGGCTGGCAGGTGAGGTCCGCCGTTCCGGGGCTGACGGCTGGTAAGTGAGGTCCGCCGCTCGGGGACTGACAACTGGTGAACTTCCAGAGCCGGCACGAGGGCGTTCGGCCGTAGTCTTCCGCTGGTGATCGGCGTTGCGCTCCTGGGTGCGTCGCGACGATGTGGCTTAAAGGTGCATTCCTGCGAGTTGTGTGTTGTAGCCTGAATGTCGCACCTTAGGTGTGAGACCATGGACGGCACCAGACTGGCAATAAGCTCCCTTTCAGCCTGTGGTTTCCAGCCGTCTAGCCTGTCTCTTATTCTGGGGCGATGCCGGATCTGGAGTGGGACTGGCATCCGGCGACGGCCACTAACCCGTGCTCTGCGCTGTCGCTCTGCAGGGTCTGAAGAAGAAGATCAGCATTGACGAGCTGCTGCGGAGCACGCAGGGCGGCGGCCAGCACAGCCAGGTCACCACCAGCCTGCTCAACCTGGTCATGCAGTTCAGGAAGGTCCGTCCGTCCGCTGCCTCGACCCAGCCTCGACTGTGCCGTCTCGGTCATGGGAGATCATCGCTCATAGATGTCCAGGACTCGGGAGGCCGTGAGCACCGTTTTCCACAGGCAGTGCGTTGTTGTGGGTCTTGGTGTTGAGACGAATGACCAGCCATGGTGGGAAAATGTGAAGGGATAATGCCGCAATAACGTCTGTCCGGCAGGTGTGTAACCACCCGGAGCTGTTCGAACGGCGCAACGTGTACTCGCCGTTCTTCGTCCGCCTGCCGCCGTACCAGCTGCCGCGCCTGCTGTTCCGGGACGGCCTCCTGCACCGGTCAGTCGCTCGCCCCCGCCGGCTGGGAGCCGCCCCGTGCCGCCCGTGTGGTGGTCATTATATGAAACCTGACGACGAAAGGGCTCCTTAGTGATGCCTTAACGCTGCCTTTAATCATGGCCCGTACACGTAATGTTTCTGTTGTGCACTGAGTCATGTAAAAAGTAGGCTGTCTGGACCAATGGACGCTCCCGAAGATGTTACCAATAAGACCTGCCTACCGCACGCGCTTGTTAGTCGTGGGTGACGCAGGCGTTTCGATGCGTCCGCTGGAATGTGCTGCCGCTGTGCCGACTTATGTAGTGCACCTGGTCAGGCAGCCGTCGCCTGGTCACGTGTGCATTTGGCCGCGGTGCTGCTGGCCGCCACCCCCCGACGCGTCGCAGTCCCGGCCCTGGCTGTGACCAGGTGCTGTGCCACCCCTGCCCGCCCGGTACCTGCCCGTCACGCCCGTCTGACGGGCGGGTACCGGGCCTGAGACGGCTTGACCCGCACGCCGTTGTCATGTCACCGCCACCTGTTGTGGGTTTGCTTGAGCGTCTTCAGTCACGACCAGGTTCTGCGGCTGCGGCAGCTCTTGATCTCAGATGGCAACTGAGTCGCCTGAGCGTTTCTGTGGGAGGGCAGTCCCTCTGACCCGGGCACCCCCTTCCTGCAGGCACCTCCCGAGTCTCCTGGGTGTCTCCCTGTGATGGGCGGCGGGGAGTGGCGAGAAAGCAGGTGCCATGACGTGAGCATCTGCTGCCACAGGTCCCTGCCCAGCCGGCATCATCTGCTGTACAATCGGCTGAGCGTCTTCAGTCCGGAGCACGTGCACCGCAGTTTCGACACCGTCACACTGGCAGATGGTACATCACCGCTCAGTGTGCCGACGGCGGCAGGGAACGCTGGTCTGATGGCCACCAATGGTGCCTCCAGCTGGCTTCGCATGTGGGGCCGCATTCGTGTATCGTTTACATTAGCGCCTGACATAGCATACCAGGTGTACAAACCCGATGAATTTGCCCTCATTTGTGATGTCATTGCATGAAATAGCTCCGTTCCATGTTAATATTTCGTAATGTTCAGCGTGCATCACGTTAAGGTTCGTGCTGTGTTCATGTTTGCCTCGCATAACCCGTGCTGAGGACCTCTCAAAAGATGTCGTGGCATCTGAAGTAGCCGCTGTCGTCTGTGCGCTCGGCTTGGCTGACGGACCCGCCTGACGTCGCGTCGCCCGGCAGGCCAGCAGCGCTGCCGGGGCGGCTTCTCGTTCCTGCGGTTCGTCGATCATTCTGCGGCCGAGTTTTGCTCGCTGGCGCACAGCCTGCTGGCCCGCTGGCTGCTGCTGCTGGTGGCGGCGGCGGCTGCCGCGCGGCGGCGCCACCTCCGCCGCGCCGGGCAGGCCGGCGGCGGGGCGGCGGCCAGTCGCGGCCTGGCACGGCACGCACTCATCATCGACGGCCGGTGCTCGGCGCTGGAGCGGCCCTGTCCACTTCTCTTCACCTCCTACACGTCGCGGGTACGGTGGGGTGCCGCTCCGGGCCGGGGCTGCCGGGGGGGTGGGGCGGCCGTTCGGTCCTGCGAGTTGGGTTCAGGCGTCGTGTTCGCCTTGGGAGTGGTCCTGAGGTGACTCGGTGCCCTGGCGTGGTGTCCAGTGTACTTAGAGCGGAGGGAATTAACGCGACTAGCTCAGATATGCATGCATTGACGGTAACAGCCATGCGGTACTGCGTGTGTGGTTACATGGCTTCCTGGCATTGCCTTTGCGATTCAGGAATACGCTACACAATGTCTGGTACCCTATGCCATGTTGCAATTACTAGTGCTTCCGTGAGGTAGACATACGACCTGTGCTTTTGAAGTGCGAGGCAAATGTGCTTCTGCTCACAACCCCTTCGCGTTCCGCCACGCGTGAGGCGCAGTTCCTCAGTGACACCGGGACCAGCCGATTGCCGGTGCACCAGTGGCTGGCTCGTGCTTGCCCATGTGGCTGGCCGCTCCGCCGGCGTGAACCTCTTGCCTCTCACGCCGCTGACCGGCGCGCGTGTGTCGGCCAGTTTTACGCGCACGTCACGCACCGGATCGAGTCGCGCTGCGAGACTCTGGACCATCGCATGCTGCGTACGAGGAAGACGGCGGCGGCGGCCGGGCCCGAGGGGCAGCGCGAGCTCGTCACCAGCCTGGTGCCGGTCGAGACGCGACCCGTCGCCGGTGGCAAGCTGCACGTGAGCAGGAGGGGGGCACGCTGGGAGCGGGACGGGAACCGTCTGCCGTCGCCAGCGAGACGCTGCACGATGCGATGGAGCTGCGCCTCTCGCTGGGCCTGGATGTGTTAGCTTCAAAGTTGCCCGAGGGCTTTCGATGTCTGCCGATTTCCAGACGGCTGTAGTGTGGATTCTATATAATTTTCCTGTTTTGTTACGCCTGTGACTGGTGCGCCATGATTTGATCACGCGAAGGGTGACTGGGACCGGCGCCAGCAAGAGAGGGCGACGCCGTTCCCAGCTACCGCCCCTGTCTGGTGGGGAGCCGGTCCCAGCTGCTGGTGACGCTGCCGCACGCGTCTGGCAGACGGTGGAGCAACGGCTGCAGCTGCTGCCAGAGTTCCCGCACCGGCCGCTGCCGGCCCAGGTGCTGCCGCTGCAGCCCACTGAGCTGCCCGCCTTCCTGCAGCAGACGCCGCGCAAGGTAGGCCGCTCCAGCGGACGTGCGGCAGCCAGCCGAACACCGGATGGGGCCTTGTAAGTGGCGGCGGTGGTCGACCAGGGCCGGCCTGTTCGCTGGACCGGCACACTGCCGGCGGTATCGGGCAGACACTGTAGTGGCTATCACCCGCGTGTGTGTGCGCGTTTTGGCGTGTGGTGCATAAGTTGAATATTGTGCTGCGCTTCGATTTGTGTTGAAGGACGACATTTTGATTGAGATTCTGCCGGCGCCGCCGAAGGGCCGGCCTGAGCTCCTACTCTGACGCGCCCGGTGATGTGCTGGCAGGCGACGGCCAGCGCCGCCGAGCTGTACTGCTCGGACCGCAGCGCCGCCTGGGCCTGGGCCGACCATCAGCACTGCGGCTCCCTGCTCGCCCGACAGTGCGTTCTGCACGGCTCGCCGGAGGTCAGCAGCGCCGGCCGACCCAGCCGGACACGTGTCCCTGTGTACTGCAGTCGATAGGAGGGGCGACACCTGGAGTCGTCGGCTTGTTGTCATGGTGTGGGTTAGGCAAACACCGCTGGCTGCTACGGATCACGCTCGCTTTGCAATTCCGATCCGAATTCGTCCTCACTTTTTCACATGATTGACTCTGCTTTGAATGACAAATGCTCACATGATTAATGCGGGTATGCGGGATAAACGTTCACATGAATGATTCGGCTGTGCAGGCGAACTATCAGTCGGTTGATGCGGCTGCGCTGGCACCGTAGTCCAATTGCGAGTGTTTGAAGCCTGTTCGAGCAGAGTCCGCTGGCTTGTTCAGTGGCATGCCGTGTTATGCAGGTGGGGCGCCCGGTCGGCCGCTGGCGGGCCCGTCTGTCTGACCCTGTCCTCTCCCCCTCCCCCCTCGCTCTCCACCCGCGTGTGACGCAGAGTGCGGAGCGCGAGCGGCGGCGGCGCTGGTGTCTGGCCCCGCCCGAGCCGGGCGGCCTCAGCGCTGTGCGGCCCCTGCACGGATGGTCCCACCTCATCATACCAGGTCAGCCGCGAGGGACGCGCGCAAACACTGCCCTGGTGCCGAAGGCTCGAGTGCAGCAGCCGACCCAGCTTAAGCCGTCATGTGGGCCGCAGCCGCCCCGGAGGCTTCTGCTCGTCACAAAAGCGCTTTTAAGAACAAACTGGGAGTCCTGCACTGACGAGGCAGCCTAAGCATACGCAGTGCGGCTCATCACAGCCATGGGAAAGCCCATCACTCAGCGTAACATGTAACTGATCCCTGGCGAACGTCAGCGTTAGGTGGATCTGGCCGGTATGCTGTAACTCGGTCCGAGCGACGGCAGCGTGAGGTGGATCTGGCCGGTATGCTGTAACTCGGTCCGAGCGACGGCAGCGTGAGGTGGATCTGGCCGGTATGCTGTAACTCGGTCCGAGCGACGGCAGCGTGAGGTGGATCTGGCCGGTATGCTGTAACTCGGTCCGAGCGACGGCAGCGTGAGGTGGATCTGGCCGGTATGCTGTAACTCGGTCCGAGCGACGGCAGCGTGAGGTGGATCTGGCCGGTGTGCTGTAACTCGGTCCGAGCGACGGCAGCGTGAGGTGGATCTGGCCGGTATGCTGTAACTCGGTCCGAGCGACGGCAGCGTGAGGTGGATCTGGCCGGTATGCTGTAACTCGGTCCGAGCGACGGCAGCGTTAGGTGGATCTGGCCGGTGTGCTGTAACTCGGTCCGAGCGACGGCAGCGTGAGGTGGATCTGGCCGGTATGCTGTAACTCGGTCCGAGCGACGGCAGCGTGAGGTGGATCTGGCCGGTATGCTGTAACTCGGTCCGAGCGACGGCAGCGTGAGGTGGATCTGGCCGGTATGCTGTAACTCGGTCCGAGCGACGGCAGCGTGAGGTGGATCTGGCCGGTGTGCTGTAACTCGGTCCGAGCGACGGCAGCGTGAGGTGGATCTGGCCGGTATGCTGTAACTCGGTCCGAGCGACGGCAGCGTGAGGTGGATCTGGCCGGTATGCTGTAACTCGGTCCGAGCGACGGCAGCGTGAGGTGGGTCTGGCCGGTGTGCTGTAACTCGGTCCGAGCGACGGCAGCGTGAGGTGGATCTGGCCGGTGTGCTGTAACTCGGTCCGAGCGACGGCAGCGTGAGGTGGATCTGGCCGGTATGCTGTAACTCGGTCCGAGCGACGGCAGCGTGAGGTGGATCTGGCCGGTATGCTGTAACTCGGTCCGAGCGACGGCAGCGTGAGGTGGATCTGGCCGGTGTGCTGTAACTCGGTCCGAGCGACGGCAGCGTGAGGTGGGTCTGGCCGGTATGCTGTAACTCGGTCCGAGCGACGGCAGCGTGAGGTGGGTCTGGCCGGTGTGCTGTAACTCGGTCCGAGCGACGGCAGCGTGAGGTGGATCTGGCCGGTGTGCTGTAACTCGGTCCGAGCGACGGCAGCGTGAGGTGGATCTGGCCGGTATGCTGTAACTCGGTCCGAGCGACGGCAGCGTGAGGTGGATCTGGCCGGTATGCTGTAACTCGGTCCGAGCGACGGCAGCGTGAGGTGGATCTGGCCGGTGTGCTGTAACTCGGTCCGAGCGACGGCAGCGTGAGGTGGGTCTGGCCGGTATGCTGTACGGTGTGCTGTAACTCGGTCCGAGCGACGGCAGCGTGAGGTGGATCTGGCTGGTGTGCTGTAACCCGCTCAGAGCGACTGACTGACTGTGCGTCGGCCACCAGACAAGCGCACGCTCATCACGGACGCCGGAAAACTGTACGTGCTGGACTCGCTGCTGAAGAAGCTGAAGGACGGCGGCCATCGTGTGCTCATCTACTCGCAGATGACGCGCATGATCGACCTGCTCGAGGTCAGGTCGGGTGGCGGCGCCGTCTGATGACATACGGATCACGTGGGGTGGCCCAGGGCACAGGCTCGCTGGAGCGCTGCTGCCGCCGGGCGGATATACATGCTATCTTGACTTGAAGTATAGGGTTCTGGCAACGGTTGTCTGACATGTAGCATATTGTGAATGATGTCCATGATGGTGTCCACCTTCGGAAGAAAGCATTTCAGCTCTGCTAGCTCGCGGCTTACACTGGCGCACAGCTTGTTTGTTTATTGGCAACGTGCACTCGGTGTACTTGACACCGGATGCCTGTGACTAATCTAGATTCACCCTGGACGCTACTTGCACTGGTATGCTCTTCGGCAGGAGTACATGTTCTACCGGCAACACAAGTACACGCGGCTGGACGGCTCGTCCAAGATTCACGAGCGCCGGGACATGGTGGAAGACTTTCAGACCAGGTGCGCGTCTCTGGCTGCGACCTCCGTCGCCTCGGGCCGGGGCGCTGCCGTCGGCGCGCTTCCGTTCGCCACAGCAGGGTCCGGGCTGTCGGGGGGGGGGACCCAGCGACCCCGCCGTGCTCGGATGGCGCTGTGTTCGGCGCGGTGTAGACCCGTTGTGGCTGGCTTTTGGGCCGATGTCTGTGCTGGTTTCATTTTTGCGCTTTCTATGTCTCGGAGACTTGCTGGCCGCTCGAGTGTTTGGGCGGTCATGACGTACCCTCTGTTTGTGCCTTTGTGTTCGTGATCTGTTCGTCGGTGAAGCGCAGCTGCTGACGCTCCGGCTACGTCGGCCAGGTCGGACATATTCGTCTTTCTGCTGAGCACCCGGGCTGGCGGTCTGGGCATCAACCTGACGGCCGCCGACACGGTACGTCCGCCGCACACGCCGCGCCGGAAGGGCCTGGTCGGCCCGCTGTTCGGGCCGTTTGCCTTTGACTGCGACTCTGCTGTTTGCCGCCGCTCATTTGTGTTGCAACAATCGTTAGGAGAACGGGGCGAGGCGGTTTGCACCTGGGGGCGGGGGGGGGGGGGGGGGTGCAATTATGCAATTAAGGCTTGAAGTTATTTTATTTGATCATTTTATCCTTCGTAACACGTAACCCACGTGCAATATGCCATGCGTCGAGACATTCGATGATGAAATTTGTCGAGCCCATTGGGGTCTTCCCAGCCCTGATCGTATCCACAATTGTGTCAGCGAAGATTCTCTGAATTTGTACAGCCCCGTACCTCTTCCGCGTCCGGCCCTGTCAGTTCGTACGTCCCTGCCTGCCTGCCTGCCTGCCTGACCGTCCGTCCGTCCGTCCGTCCGTTCTTGTCTGCCTCCCTGACCGCCCTCCCTGACCGGCCGGCCGTCCTGGTCTGCCTCCCTGACCGGCCGCCCGTCCCCGTCTGCGTTCCTGACCGGCCGTCCGTTCCCGGTCTGCCTCCCGGACCGACCGTCCACCCCGGACCTCTCCCTGACCGACCGCCCGTCCCCGTCTGCCTCCCTGACCGACCGTCCATCCCCGTCTGCCTCTCTGACCGACCTCCGTCCCGGTCTGCCTCCCTGACCGACCGCCCGTCCCCGGTCTGCCTCCCTGACCGGCCGTCCCATCCCCGTCTGCCATCCCTGACTGGCCGTCCGTCCCCGTCTGTCTCCCTGACCGGCCGCCGCCGCCCGCCAGGTGATCTTCTACGACAGTGACTGGAACCCGACAGTGGACCAACAGGCCATGGACCGCGCCCACCGGCTCGGCCAAACCAAGCAGTGTCACCGTCTACCGCCTCATCTGTAAGGGCACCATCGAAGAGCGCATACTGCAGCGGGCCAGGGAGAAGAACGAGGTACGGACGGGTCAGGGGTCCGAGGACGGGGTCAGGTCAGGCCGAGGTAGCGAACGGGTGCCGTTTGGCGGCCACGCGGCTGTCTGAATAACCAACAAACAGGATGAGAGGCTTGGGAGGATCGGCCCCAAAGGAACATTAGGCAGGATCAGGAGCCGAAGAGTGAAATGCGGTCAGCCAAGAACAGGACATAGTACACGTACATTCGGGAAGCGGCATGAACAACAATATTATAAATGTTACCATGGAGCGTCCGTCTGGAGAGATATTTTGCATGGTTGCACCAGATGGAGCGACCCGTTACCTTTCTCTCGCCTTTCTCCCCGAGTTTGTTGTTTCCGCCGTGGTTACTTCAGTTACGAGCTGTGCGCCAGCGGAATTGAAGATCGTCTTCCATCGAGTGCCCGCATACAGCTCGACCATAAATTAGCTTATCGCACTGGCCACAGCAGGGATAAGAATAGGGCCGGTTGTACTTTTCGTGGTGCGCGTGGCTCTTGCGGCGATGATTTCATCAGTATTGCTGCTGCTACGGGCTGGATAATGAAGCGTGTTATCTAAGAAACTCAAGTTCAGCAGCATAGTCCTGCCAATTACAATCTCAGCAACTTCATATCCTAAATTTATTTATTTATTTTCACTGGTAGTCATCTTACCTAGCGCAATGTGTGTCAAGCACCTGCTACTGTTTTGTCCTAGTGTTGTTGCCTCTACCGGGCTCCGAGGCAGGAATCATTAGTATCTTGCGCCAGTCTCCGAACCCAGCGGGTTTGTGTTTCGCTCAGATGGTGCTTCTCGACACCGGCCAGTTCTCCTTGAACCCTACTCTCAGAAGGAGGTAGTATTCTGGTCAGCTATGTGTGCGATGAAAGACAGCTGTGGTGTCTGCTCTGAGTGCGGTTCATTTGTTCCCCGCAAGTTTACGTGCTATGACAACGATCATGCGTCCATTTGGCAAGAACCGGCTGTTGTGATTCCCATCTCGGTCGTTTGTGTGAGAATGATTGCGGGAAAACCCAAGTAACGATCACGCTCCGCGAATCGATCGATGCATCATGCACATACCGCTATCATCGTGTGAAAAACGGCGGTGCCTGCTGGGTACTGGAAGGCGTGTATGCAGCTCGGTGTATGTTCCCACATCATGGTGTTCGTCAGAGTATGGTGAAGCATTATTGGTGCAAATATCCAGTGGACTGGCAGCCGCCACCGGCATGCCAGAGTACGTCATCATACTTCAGACGCCAGAGTGGCGTCGGAGAACCAACTCACATGCCAGAGCATGTCATCATACTTCAGACGTCAGAGTGGCGTCGGAGAACCAACTCACATGCCAGAGCATGTCATCATACTTCAGACGTCAGAGTGGCGTCGGAGAGCAAACTCACATGCCAGAGCATGTCATCACACTTCAGACGTCGGAGTGGCGTCGGAGAACAAACTCACTAAACTTTTCAAATAACTTGATACCGCACAACGTGCAGGGCTCTTGCGGTAAATGCTGCTGGGCACTCCTTCGAATCTTGCCTGTGTATAATTTCTTTCTTGTGTCCAGTCGAGATCAACAAGAACAATGGGACGGCAGCGCGGCGGTGCTGTCCGCTCGTTAAAAAGCTGCACACGCCTCGCCGACAAGCTCCGGTCGTCTGGAGCCGGGCGGACACGGAGCGAGGTGGGCGGCCCTCTGTGGTGTGGTGTGGCCGCCCGGATGTGGTTTTGCCGCCCTCTCAGCTTCCAGCATTTACGGACCAATAACAGCGGCCTCTATGTCGCGAGAGCCCCGCGGTACCGAGGCGACTCTGTTCACTATGGGACGCTGCGACGCGTGAGTCTGTGTCCGGAGCGGGGACGGTTTGGTGACGAGTGTACCCGCTGAACCAGCGCGGCGCTGGGAGAACACCGCTGCGACTGCCGCACGCTCGCCGCCGGTGTAGGGCGTAGGGCGGGCAGTGTCCGACCTCCGCGGGCGAGTACACTGCCGGCGTGGGCGCTGCGGCAGAGCTACGGCCGCGGCGGGCTGCGGGCGTGTGCTCCTCATTGCGTCTGAACAGCCATACCTGGTGTTCAGACGGGATGCTGCTACGGCCGCGGCGGGCTGCGGGCGTGTGCTCTTCACTGCGTCTCGACAGCCATACCCGGTGTTCAGACTGGGTGTTGTTTGCCGTGGCCCCTGCTAACCAATGTACTGTGCGGTGCATGTCAGGCGATCCTTACTGGGGGAATGGGGGACGGGTCGGAGGCAGAATGGATGGTGTTTTGGCAGTGGCCTTGGCCCATGTACTAAAAGGAAAGCTAACGGTAAATGCGTGCCTGGGGGTTGGAGAAGACACACCTTGATAAGTGATTGGTCAAGTGTTCATGTGCCCGGCAGGAAAACGGGCATACTAACGTTCAAGGAACATACGTGTAATGTGCTGTTTGCCGCACTTCGTTCAGACATATGTGGGGCCATGTTTTTAGTGGCGGTCTGAACCTTGGCGGGCTCCTTCAGCTGTGAGGCGTCTGGGACGCGTGTTGGCTGGCGGATCGCTGGTCACGTGTGCCTCCGGACCAGTCAGTCACGTCTGGCTCGGGACCAGCCGGTCACGTCTGGTTCCGAACCAGCCGGTCACGGCTGGCTCCGGATCAGCCGGTCACGGCTGGCTCCGGATCAGCCGATCACGTCTGGCTCCGGATCAGCCGGTCACGTCTGGCTCCGGATCAGCCGGTCACGGCTGGCTCCGGATCAGCCGATCACGTCTGGCTCCGGATCAGCCGGTCACGTCTGGCTCCGGATCAGCCGGTCACGTCTGGCTCCGGATCAGCCGATCACGGCTGGCTCCGGACCAGCCGGTCACGTCTGGCTTCAGATCAGTGGGTCACGTCTGGCTCCGGACCAGCCGGAATGCTCGCGACCGTAGCGGCAGACCGCCGCCTACGCACGGGTGATGGTGCTCCCAAGGGACGCGCGTGCGTTTCCTGTACCATCTGCTTGTCCGTCGGCGAATCCTGGGTTCTGTCCGTTGCCTTCTGACTGCTTGTCCGTCGTTTGTCGGCCACCGGTTTGCCGTCTACTGGTTACTTGTCGCGGCTGCGGGCTTTCCGTGTGGCCAGCTAATTGTTACGATTTCCAGCCTACGCCACTGATATCTCGTCCACCTTGCACCATTTATTGTACCTATGGGGCATATGTAGTGCCCCACACATTGTTCCCCGGCGCCAGTCAGTTTGACACCAGGGTGAACTCACCGGATGTGTGAAGCGCGCCGGCAGTCTTACACGCGGGCAGACGTGGGATGATGTGCAGACAATCGGCGGACGCCGTCAGACAATCACGAACGGGCCGTGCCATTGCGTAACAGCGGGAGCATTAGACCAGTTCATGGGCACAAGCCGAACGGTCCATAAACTGCAAGCGTTATCATGGCCGTGTGCTATTCACTTTCTTTCCTTTGCATCTGAAATGAATCAGCCGCTGTGCCAGCAGCCTGGTGCTAACAACTGCGCCGGAGAAAGTGCCGCCGGCCGGCCTGACCTGCACACACCTGCCGCCGGGTCACGGGTCAACCGGCGCGCCGACGTGGGCCGCATGGCGCGTCGTTTCATCACGGGCTATCACAATAAAGCGCCGACGCTGTGCTCTTTGGGCCGCGGGATGAGCGGGGGCACATTGTGCCTGCATAATGCCTGGTTGTACGGGGCTCGGTCTGGCCGCTCGTGCGGTCCCCGCGCGGTCTGCTGGCTATCATGCGCCCACCGGTCAGTGAAGGTCGGAGGAGAATACCACTGGTACGGTACCCGCGCGGTGTGTTGGCTTTCGCGTGCCACCGGCACGTGGAGATCGGAGAATACCATTGGTACGGTACCTGCGCGGTCTGTTGGCTATCATGTACACACTGGTACGTGAAGGTCGGAGGAGAATACCACCTGGCACGGTACCTGCGCGGTCTGCTGGCTATCATGTACACGCTGGTACATGAAGGTCGGAGGAGAATACCACCTGGCACGGTACCCGCGCGGTCTGCTGGCTATCATGTACACGCTGGTACATGAAGGTCGGAGGAGAATACCACCTGGCACGGTACCCGCGCGGTCTGCTGGCTAGCATGTACACGCTGGTACGTGAAGGTGGGGAGATGAGGGGGGTCAGTGGGTATGAAGGTGGGGAGATGAGGGGGGCCAGTGGGTGCAGGGGAAGGGCGATGTCACAGGGCACGCGTGTCCCAGCTGCGGTGACCTGCTCCGGTCACCGACCTGTTCCCTTCTCGTCCCGACTTTTCCTGCAGCTTCGGCATTCTGAGGCCCTCCGGATCCTGAATGTTGAATACATGACGAATATAAGTTATGTTACTGTTTTTGGAGACATGTTAATACGAGTGGCGTCATGTTCAGTCTGTCAGTATAAGTTTTGCAGAGTCGTTTCTCACCTGTCAACCTTTTTCACCCGAAGGCCACGGGTTACTCGAGTTGCACTGCGCATCAGTTGGTTTTGATTTAAATTTAAGACGACGGAATGCATTCAACGTGATATCTTATATGATGACCAGCTGGCAACAGGCCGAATTGCATGTTGAAGTAGGGTGAGCGTGTCGTGGAACGTCATAGCACGCTGAGCTGCGGCAGCGCTGTCCGTTGGCCCGGGGTTACACGACTTCAGTGGTGGGGGCAGGGCCTTCGCGACAAGGCTAGCAAGCTCACCAATCGGCCTAGCAAGGAGAGTGGTTGCAAAACAATTCCAGCAAATCATTTGATCGGATTCGTTTTACAAGGTTGTTCCTGTATTCGACGGACGCGCCTTTCACGTACCTTTGATTTAAACGGAAGGCCACAGGCCTCATGAAGGTCGCAAACGTCTTCATTTCGTGTCATTCTCCCTCAGGGCATACGTTCATGTGAGGAGGGATTCTGATCGCGTCAGCCAATCATCTTCCCAACTGTAGCACTGCACCGTGCGCTCTGAGTTAAAATGTTATAGGGGTTGAACGTTGTTTTAATGGCACGCGCTAATATTTGCTTAGGGATCCAACATTGCAAAATAGGAGAGAGCAGCAGCAAATGATCCGTGGACTTGGGATGCGGGACTTCTCTTGTATGTAACGTCTTGCCTAGTGATGGATAGGCTATTTGCGTGAGCTCTAGGCGTGTTTAACGGAGTTTTAACGTGCTAAGGAGTCATGCCGTATGTTTAAATGACGGGTACGGCCAGTAATGAACTCTTACTGAGGTGATAGAATAAAGAATAAGTGCTACTCTGGACAGAGGAGTCATGGCTGTCGGCTCGCTAATTCTGGACGAATTGCTGTTGAACTATTTGGAGGTCCCCGCTTGCGGAGCACTTTTGATTTAATTATTTGTCGCTACTAAATATAGACCCGGGGTACCAGTATGAGGCCAAGATTGTGTTCAATGTGAACAAGCCCCGAAATGTGCTTAAATCACAGTAGCTTATCTTTTGAAACTCCGATTTGCCGTGTCTGATGTGCCGTGACACGATCAGGTCGGTCCTGGCATCACTTGATCTGATCCCATCAGAACGTGAGCGACCTGACCTGATCCCAATGGACCTGGCACCACCTGACTTCATCCCATCGGACCTGACTTCACCTGACCCCTCCCCCCCCCTGGCCCCATCTGACATCTGAAGCCACTCGATCTCCCAGCACCCGACCTGACCTTGTTCGCCCCGACTCCACCTAACCCGCCCGCCCTCACCCGTCCCACCTGACACCGGTCTGACCTCACGTGACCTGACCTGGCCCGCATACCCAGAGGATGGTCATCAGTGGCGGCAACTTCCTTGTTCGCCCCGACTCTACCTAACCCGCCCGCCCTCACCCGTCCCACCTGACACCGGTCTGACGTCACGTGACCTGACCTGACCCGCAGATCCAGAGGATGGTCATCAGCGGCGGCAACTTCCGGCCGGACCAGCTCAAGGCCAAGGAGGTCGTCTCGCTGCTGCTGGACGACGACGTCATCGAGAGGAAATGTAGGTCGCCGTTAGTGTCGACGGCACCGGCTCTGCCGTCTTCCTGTGAACGTCCCAGCGCCTGTCCCTTCTCGTTTCGACTTACACGTTGAGCGTTGGGATATGAGCAGTTGACACTGGCCTGTGCCGTCTGGATGTGAACAGTTGTCACTGGTCTGTGCTGTCTGAATGTGACCAGTTAACACTGGTCTGTGCTGTCTGGATATGAGCATTTAACACTGGTCTGTACTGTCTGGATGTGACCAGTTGACACTGGTCTGTGCCGTCTGGATGTGACCAGTTAACACTGGTCTGTGCTGTCTGGATGTGAGCGGTTGGCACTGGTCTGTACTGTCTGGATGTGACCAGTTGGCACTGGTCTGTGCCGTCTGGATGTGAGCAGTTGTCACTGGCCTGTATCGTCTGGATGTGACCAGTTGGCAATGGTCTGTGCCGTTGAGATAGCCTGTGCGGTGCCGACTGCAGCGGTGTTTGTCGGTCCGCCACCGGTGACGGCAGCGCTGACACCGCCTCCCTCCGCCGTAGACCGGGCCCGGCAGGCCGAAACCCAGGGCGAGCGAAGACGCCGCGCCGACCAGGTCAGTCGACCCGGAGCCCTGGCCAGGGGCCTGGCCCAGGCGACACGGCCTTCTGGCCCGTCCATCCCGGCTCCGGGGTCGGACGCAGGGCCGGGCAGAGCCGGATGGTCTCACGCCGAGCCCCATGGTCTGACACGGCCTGTGACCGAATGCGACGGCCTGGTGCAGTGTCTGAGCAAACCCGATGACCTGATGACGTGTCTGACGGAACGCCAAGGTCGGGTGCAGGTGTCCCACCGGACCTGGTGACCTGGCAGTGTCCGATCGAGGCTAGTGACCTGTGGAGGCGTCTGGCCGAGACTATTGACCTGTGGAGGCGTCTGACCGAGACTATTGACCTGTGGAGGCGTGTGACCGGGACTATTGACCTGTGGAGGCGTGTGACCGAGACTAGTGACCTGTGGAGGCGTGTGACCGAGACTAGTGGCCTGTGGAGGCGTGTGACCGAGACTAGTGACCTGTGGAGGCGTCTGACCGAGACTATTGACCTGTGGAGGCTTCTGACCGAGACTAGTGACCTGTGGAGGTGTCTGACCGAGACTAGTGACCTGTGGAGGCGTCTGACCGAGACTATTGACCTGTGGAAGCTTGTGACCGAGACTATTGACCTGTGGAGGCGTGTGACCGGGACTATCGACCTGTGGAGGCTTCTGACCGAGACTAGTGACCTGTGGAGGCTTCTGACCGAGACTAGTGACCTGTGGAGGCGTGTGACCGGGACTATCGACCTGTGGAGGCTTCTGACCGAGACTAGTGACCTGTGGAGGCGTCTGACCGAGACTAGTGACCTGTGGAGGCGTCTGACCGGGACTATTGACCTGTGGAGGCTTCTGACCGAGACCAGTGACCTGTGGAGGCGTGTGACTGGGACTAGTGGCCTGTGGAGGCGTGTGACCGAGACTAGTGGCCTGTGGAGACGTCTGGCCGAGCCTAGTGACCTGTGGAGGCGACAGGCCGAGACTGTTGATCTGTGGAGGCGACTGGCCGAGACTAGTGACCTGTGGAGGCGTCTGACCGAGACTAGTGACCTGTGGAGGCGTCTGACCGAGACTAGTGACCTGTGGAGGCGTGTGACCGGGACTATCGACCTGTGGAGGCTTCTGACCGAGACTAGTGACCTGTGGAGGCGTCTGACCGAGACTAGTGACCTGTGGAGGCGTCTGACCGGGACTATTGACCTGTGGAGGCTTCTGACCGAGACCAGTGACCTGTGGAGGCGTGTGACTGGGACTAGTGGCCTGTGGAGGCGTGTGACCGAGACTAGTGGCCTGTGGAGACGTCTGGCCGAGCCTAGTGACCTGTGGAGGCGACAGGCCGAGACTGTTGATCTGTGGAGGCGACTGGCCGAGACTAGTGACCTGTGGAGGCGACTGGCCGAGACCGATGACCTGTGGAGACGTCTGCCCGTCTCCTGATGTGACATGATGGACTCCCTGTCGCGTGATCTGACCGAGCGCCGTGTGGCGCAGGGTGGCGGCGGGGATGAGAAGCGGGCCCGGGCCGATGCGGACGACCTGTCCCAGCTGTCGTCTCCTCTCGGCTCGCGGCCGCCCAGCCGGGCCAGCGAGGTGGGTCTCGTGGCAGCCTGCTGGCCTGAGCGGGCCGCCCTGCCTGGAACCAGCGGCCCGCTGCCAGCCACTCTGTTAGCGTAGGTCATCAGCGTTAGTCAAACTTTTCCTCAGAGGCACCCGCACGGTCAGGACAACCACTAGGCACGCCATTGGCCTTAAGGCGCAATTGTTTGGTACTGGTGTTGTCGCTTGAGAACAATTTCTGGAAACGCTGTGATTATTTAATGTCGAATACCGAATTTTGATGAGGCCGACCTACTCATGTTACGACTGGCGCCGTTGGATTCGTGGTCATTCCTCATATGAATCTATCAAACCCGATCCAAATGAGAGATCCTTGAGGAGTGAGGAATGAGCGGGAGAGATCCATATATCATACACAGACGTACGTCTTGGAAGGGCGTACAATAATACATTTGTGATACACATGTAATGCATATGCATTACACACAGGCATTGCACGACTTGGAATAGCATAGAATACAACCATTGAAAGCGCTATGGTACTGCAATCCGCGTTTCGTATGCTGTAGAAGGCATCGGAATTAATTGCAGGCAAGACAAATCATCGGCAGATGACCAGGACCGATCAGATCACATAGTTAGGCAAGTCTAGCGCTGCATGCAGCATGAAGTAAAGCCGATGAAATGATAATGGAGAAACCTTCGAACCAAGCGAATGGATTATGAATTTTCCGGCGTGCCGAGCAGGCCATTAATCAGTGGGTCCGTCCTGAGGCGCCCTGCTCCGCGTACCAATGGGAATGCGTTTGTACAGGCCGCGTGGTCCTGTGATCGCAGCGTGAGTGGTGACCGCTTCTTGGTGAGCTGCTGGCAGCTGTCCGTCTCGTGAGCTGTCTCTGGGGAGGGTGGCGTGGTCATGTGACCGCGGCGCGAGTGGTGACTGCTTCCCGGTGAGCTGCCGGCAGTTGTCCGTCTCGCGAGCTGTCTCTGGGGAGCGTGGCGTGGTCACGTGACCACAGCGTGAGTGGTGACCGCTTCCCGGTGAGCTGCCGGCAGTTGTCCGTTTCGCGAGCTGTCTCTGGGGAGGGTGGCGTGGTCACGTGACCACAGCGTGAGTGGCGGCCGCTTCCCGGTGAGCTGCCGGCAGTGGTCCGTCTCGCGAGCTGTCTCTGGGGAGGGTGGCGTGGTCACGCGACCACAGCGCTAGTGGCGACCGCTTCCCGGTGAGCTGCCGGCAGTCGTCCGTCTCGCGAGCTGTCTCTGGGGAGCGTGGCGTGGTCACGTGACCGTGGCGTGAGTGGTGACCGCTTCCCGGTGAGCTGCCGGCAGTTGTCCGTCTCGCGAGCTGTCTCTGGGGAGCGTGGCGTGGTCACGTGACCGTGGCGTGAGTGGCGACCGCTTCCCGGTGAGCTGCCGGCAGTCGTCCGTCTCGCGAGCTGTCTCTGGGGAGCGTGGCGTGGTCACGTGACCGTGGCGTGAGTGGTGACCGCTTCCCGGTGAGCTGCCGGCAGTCGTCCGTCTCGCGAGCTGTCTCTGGGGAGCGTGGCGTGGTCACGTGACCGTGGCGTGAGTGGCGACCGCTTCCCGGTGAGCTGCCGGCAGTCGTCCGTCTCGCGAGCTGTCTCTGGGGAGCGTGGCGTGGTCACGTGACCGTGGCGTGAGTGGCGACCGCTTCCCGGTGAGCTGCCGGCAGTCGTCCGTCTCGTGAGCTGTCTCTGGGGAGCGTGGCGTGGTCACGTGACCGTGGCGTGAGTGGTGACCGCTTCCCGGTGAGCTGCCGGCAGTCGTCCGTCTCGCGAGCTGTCTCTGGGGAGCGTGGCGTGGTCACGTGACCGTGGCGTGAGTGGTGACCGCTTCCCGGTGAGCTGCCGGCAGTCGTCCGTCTCGCGAGCTGTCTCTGGGGAGCGTGGCGTGGTCACGTGACCGTGGCGTGAGTGGTGACCGCTTCCCGGTGAGCTGCCGGCAGTTGTCCGTCTCGCGAGCTGTCTCTGGGGAGCGTGGCGGGTCCGGCGGCCTGGAGCGCCCGGCAGGCTGACATTTGAACCCCAGCGCTGATTTGTAGGCTGTTAAACAAGCCGGGAGACGTGCTATGCAGTGCATGCGGTCTTACCAACCATTATGACGATAGGGATCGCCGTATTTCACCACCGTGGTTGAACCATTAATTTTCATCATGATAGTATTAAGAAATTAAAAAGATGTTATTATATTTCATTGCTCAGGTTCACGGGTAATCGGCGATTAACTTCTGTGTACAATGTAAATGTGTGTGTGTGCAATGTGACGGGTTCTGCGATTTGCGCTTTTCTGTGAGGTTATTGGCCGCTGCAATTAACTTTCCGGGTCGTGTAGGCGCGTTCTTCTGAATCTGTCTGAACCATACCCTTTGCAGCGAACCTGAGCGGGGTATATGGTCCTTCTCTGATTGTGGCCGCTCTTTTGACGGCGCTGGCTGGAGAGTGGCAGTGTGGCCATGCTGGAGGTGTGGCCAGCCTCTGATTGTGGCCGCACTTTTGGCAGCGCTCGCTGGAGAGTGGCAGTGTGGCCGTGCCGGAGGTGTGACCAGCCTCTGACTGTGGCCGCTCTATTGACAGCGCTCGCTGGAGAGTGGCAGTGTGGCCGTGCCGGAGGTGTGGCCAGCCTCTGACTGTGGCCGCTCTGTTGACGGCGCTCGTTGGAGAGTGGCAGTGTGGCCATCCTCTGACTGTGGCCGCTCTGTTGACAGCGCTTGCTGGAGAGTGGCAGTGCGGCCGCGCCGGGGGTGTGGCCATGCTGGAGGCGTGGCCAGCCTCTGACTGTGGCCGCACTGTTGACAGCGCTCGCTGGAGAGTGGCAGTGTGGCCGTGCCGGAGGTGTGGCCAGCCTCTGACTGTGGCCGCTCTGTTGACAGCGCTCGCTGGAGAGTGGCAGTGTGGCCGTGCCAGAGGTGTGGCCAGCCTCTGACTGTGGCCGCTCTGTTGACAGCGCTCGCTGGAGAGTGGCAGTGTGGCCGTGCCGGAGGTGTGGCCAGCCTCTGACTGTGGCCGCTCTGTTGACAGCGCTCGCTGGAGAGTGGCAGTGTGGCCGTGCCGGAGGACACCAGCCCGGAGAGCTCGCTCATGGTGGATATGGACATCACGCCACTGCCCTCCCCTGGAGGTAAGTCCCCCCCCCCCCGCGGACAGGTCACCCGGTGTGACTAAAGACGGTGTGACTGTGATTACTACCTCCCGCGGTAGCCGGCTATCCGGGCCTCCTGATAGGGCCCTCTCCACCTGACGTGGACGGAAGGCTCGGTGTGGCTGCGGCCATCATATGGGTCATGCGCCGGTGTCTTGGCTGATGTGCGTATGCCAATTACCCGCTAGCCTGACTTCGAGAGAGCCGACTGAGTCAGCGTGTCTGTCTTCCGCATCGCGGTATTCAACATTTTTGTGTGTGTTTGCGTGTTGTATGTGCCTTTGGATACGTCTGTGCAACAGTATCTGCCTGTTTGTCTCGCTATGTGGCGGGGCTGTTATGCTGTCCGTCAGGGACTCTGCTCCAGCTCGGTGCCGTGTTCGGTGTGCAGCGCTCGGTGGGCCGGCGTCTCTCTCCGTCTCTGCGGGCCGTGTGTTGCTATCCGCGGTGCCGGGTCGCCGTGGCAGTGCCGTGTTCGGTGGGTCGGCGCCTCTCTCCGTCTCTCTGGCGGCCGTGTGTCTCCGTCTCTAGAGTCGGGTCGCCGTGGCAGTGCCGTGTTCGGTGGGTCGGCGTTTCTCTCCGTCTCTCTGGCGGCCGTGTGTCTCCGTCTCTAGAGTCGGGTCGCCGTGGCAGTGCCGTGTTCGGTGGGTCGGCGTCTCTCTCCGTCTCTCTAGCGGCCGTGTGTCTCCGTCTCTAGAGTCGGGTCGCCGTGGCAGTGCCGTGTTCGGTGGGTCGGCGTCTCTCTCGTCTCTCTGGCGGCCGTGTGTCTCCGTCTCTAGAGTCGGGTCGCCGTGGCAGTGCCGTGTTCGGTGGGTCGGCGTCTCTCTCCGTCTCTAGAGTCGGGTCGCCGTGGCAGTGCCGTGTTCGGTGGGTCGGCGTCTCTCTCCGTCTCTCTGGCGGCCGTGTGTCTCCGTCTCCAGAGTCGGGTCGCCGTGACAGTGCCGTGTTCGGTGGGTCGGCGTCTCTCTCCGTCTCTCTGGCGGCCGTGTGTCTCCGTCTCTAGAGTCGGGTCGCCGTGGCAGTGCCGTGTTCGGTGGGTCGGCGTCTCTCTCCGTCTCTCTAGCGGCCGTGTGTCTCCGTCTCTAGAGTCGGGTCGCCGTGGCAGTGCCGTGTTCGGTGGGTCGGCGTCTCTCTCCGTCTCTCTAGCGGCCGTGTGTCTCCGTCTCTAGAGTCGGGTCGCCGTGGCAGTGCCGTGTTCGGTGGGTCGGCGTCTCTCTCCGTCTCTCTGGCGGCCGTGTGTCCGTCTCTAGAGTCGGGTCGCCGTGGCAGTGCCGTGTTCGGTGGGTCGGCGTCTCTCTCCGTCTCTCTGGCGGCCGTGTGTGTCCGTCTCTAGAGTCGGGTCGCCGTGGCAGTGCCGTGTTCGGTGGGTCGGCGTCTCTCTCCGTCTCTCTGCGGGCCGTGTGTCTCCGTCTCTAGAGTCGGGTCGCCGTGACAGTGCCGTGTTCGGTGTGTCGGCGTCTCTCTCCGTCTCTCTGGCGGCCGTGTCTCCGTCTCTAGAGTCGGGTCGCCGTGACGGTGCCGTGTTCGGTGGGTCGGCGTCTCTCTCCGTCTCTCTAGCGGCCGTGTGTCTCCGTCTCCAGAGTCGGGTCGCCGTGGCAGTGCCGTGTTCGGTGGGTCGGCGTTTCTCTCCGTCTCTCTGCGGGCCGTGTGTGTCCGTCTCTAGAGTCGGGTCGCCGTGGCAGTGCCGTGTTCGGTGTGTCGGCGTCTCTCTCCGTGTCTCTGGCGGCCGTGTGTGTCCGTCTCTAGAGTCGGTTGGCCGTGACAGTGTCGTGTTCGGTGGGTCGGCGTCTCTCTCCGTCTCTCTGGCGGCCGTGTGTGTCCGTCTCTAGAGTCGGTTGGCCGTGACAGTGCCGTGTTCGGTGGGTTGGCGCGTCTCTCTGCGGGCCGTGTGTGGCTATCCGCGGTGCCAGGTCGCAGCAGCTGACCACAAGTTCAAGGCCGCCGTGATCACGAGCCGGCCGGCTGGTATGCGGGCCGGCCGACCCAGACACGCCGTCTGTCGGCCGCCACCTCTGATCCACGGCCAGTGGCCAGAGCCTGCACCGAGCGGGCCGGCATTACCCACTGCCCTGTCCCACCCCCGCCCAGTGGACAGAGACCGGACTCGGGACAGAGTCGCCTGATGTACTGCCCACAGTACTGCTCTGGCTTGGTGTAAACAGAAGAGCAGTTGCGTGTCTCGCTGCCTTCCTCGTGGCCTAACTGGCGGAGTGCAGAGTTCCTGGTCATTATGGTGGGAAGCTATGTGAACACACGTCCCAGCATTAATGTTCGATTGTTAGCCATGTCATAGACGATCAATGGAGCATTCGGCCATGGAGGGTCAGGCTGACAAAGGACGGTCTTGTACGTCAAGACACTGCATGGGACGAACGGCGGATCGCCAGGCTCTCCGTTAGGATAAGCAAGAGCTCTGATCGCAAAGAGGGCTACAAAGCACCGAGTAGATTTTTTTAAAAACAAACGGCGCATTATTGTAACTTATGTATGGAGCGTGCGACCGTGCAAAACAAATTTAAAAACGCGTTTTTATAAGGTATATCGTTATGTCTTATGTCAAGAAGGCATCTGTCATGTCATTTCTGGCATCTTTGCAGTTTTTGTTCGAAAGCACATTTGCCGTTGTGCATATAAACCCACAAGTATGATTCTGTGTTGTGATGTATGGCACACCTACTTACGTATCATTGAGGCGACATTTGACGTGTGGCGTGTGACGCTAGACCAAAGCTTGGGCTTAAAATCAGCTGTCGTTGAAAATCTGAAGCGCTATTTTTATATAATAAAGATGATTCCTGTCCTAAAGCGTGATCCTCAACCCGACAGGCACTGTTAAGTGCGTGGAAATAGCCGGGACAAATATTGTTTTGCCACGTGATTTGAGAGGGTGCTGCGGCGTGACACTGTCTTTGGTGCCGGTCACGGGATACGTGTGGAAGTCTGCGGTCCAGTTGCCCCAAGGGCAGGCCGTTTTTGGCTCGTCATACGTGCTGATTTGTGACACAATTGACACCGGGACAGTTGATTAGGGACACAGTTGAAGTTATCTAAGATTGGTCGCGGGCCGTCTGCCGCGGTCAAAGTATTGGATACATGCCCTTGAATCGTACTTGTACTCTCTGCGGCCGTAGCAGCCATTTTGAAAATTGATAAGTGGAGAGCTCTTTCAGACTCCGCTGTGCCTCAAAGTCAAACGAAGCGATACGGGTAGTGGCGCGTTCAGAAGAGCACGCGTCACGGAAGGATACGAGACGGAGGGGTGTAGCTACTACGGATCAGTGAGCGTAAGCTCGCGGATGAGTGCGCCAGCCTCGAGGCAGCGGTCTCAGTGTGGTGGGCCCCTCCCGGGCCGGCCAGTGTGTGCCCGTCCACCGTCCAGGGACCGTCCGTAGCCGTCACCAGTCCGCCGCCCAGGAATCGTCCAGAGCCGTCGCCGGTCCGGACCCGTCACCAGTCCGGAGTCGTCGCCAGTCCGGAGCCGTCACCAGTCCAGAGCCGTCACCAGTCCAGAACCGTCACCAGTCCAGAGTCGTTACCAGTCCCGAGCTATCGCCAGTCCAGAGCCGTTACCAGTCCAGAGTCGTTACCAGGCCGGAGCCGTCACCAGTCAGCCGTCCCCAGTCCAGAGTCGTCACCAGTCCGGAGCCGTTACCAGTCCCGAGCTGTCACCAGTCCAGAGCCGTTACCAGTCAAGAGTCGTTACCAGGCCGGAGCCGTCACCAGTCCAGAGCCGTCCCCAGTCCAGAGTCGTCACCAGTCCGGAGCCGTCACCAGTCCAGAGCCGTCACCAGTCTCGAGCCGTCACCAGTCCCGAGCCGTCACCAGTCCAGAGTCGTTACCAGTCCCGAGCTGTCACCAGTCCAGAGCCGTTACCAGTCCAGAGTCGTTACCAGTCCCGAGCTGTCACCAGTCCAGAGCCGTTACCAGTCCAGAGTCGTTACCAGACCGGAGCCGTCACCAGTCAGCCGTCCCCAGTCCAGAGTCGTCGCCAGTCCGGAGCCGTTACCAGTCCCGAGCTGTCACCAGTCCAGAGCCGTTACCAGTCAAGAGTCGTTACCAGGCCGGAGCCGTCACCAGTCCAGAGCCGTCCCCAGTCCAGAGCCGTCACCAGTTCAGAGCCGTCACCAGCCTGGAGCCGTCGCCAGTGCGGCACCGCGCCGCACTCTCATCAGCGAGCCGCACCGCCCGCTGGCGCCGGATAACGAGCGGCCGCCGATGGCTATCGCCGGCTTTCCTCGCGTTGTGCGGGCGGCGCGGCCCGATTCGGGCGTCGATTGTCTGCGGGCCGCATAGTTTGCGGCGAGCGGCGGCGGCCGGAGCAGGACGGCACGAGGTGGGCGTGCTCCGCTGCTGCCGCCGAATCCGTCCTAGTCCGGAGACTGGGTCGTCGGGGCCTGCCCTGCCCACGCGGGGATTCTGCCGCGGCAGCTGGTGTCACTGTGACGTCCCATCGGCGCCGCTCAACGCCCGCAACGCCGCCCCCGGTCAATCTCACCGACTGGGTCTGTCCATGATGACGCTGGAATATCGCGAACGCGTGGGCATCGAATGTCATTTCGCTGGTTGTCACTGCCAGTAACTGCCGAGCAGTTGTGTCTTCCCAGCAGGGACGGTTGTCTTTATGTCCCGACTGTAGCATTGTCGAGTCAATCGCTTGGTGGTGGCGCCGTCCTGGCTGCCCTCAGCCGGCATCGTCGGGCATGCCTGGCTCGACCGTGACCGTTACCGCTCCCAGACGGGTACTTTGCGCCCACTCCTGCCATCGCAGGCTCTAAGCGCGGAGGCGGAGGAACTTAAGTGGCCATCGACAGCTCTGGCCATTATCACCTGGAGAACATGAAGTTGGCGTGCACGTGACTCACATCACAGGGCACGTAAAGTGCGTACAATAACCGTGTTTGTGTGACGGTCTCGGAGCCGTGTGCCACCAATGTGACGGAAAGTGTTCAAAGTTGGGTCGAAGCAAAGCCAGGTCAAGGTCAGGTAAGGCCATGTATGTTTTCCTTGGAGTCACGTGATATGCTGTGACCAATGAGGACCTGGCCAGTAGGCATTCTCTGATCGTCTTCGAAGATCGTCTTCGTACGTACTAGAAACATATCTCAATATTAACAATAACGTTCATGGTCGGATCAAAGTCAAGCCAGGTCAAACTCAGCTGCTGTCATATACGTGTTCTTTTGAGTCGTGTGATCTATTCTGACCGATGGAGACCTGGCCAATGGTTATTGGCTTGCAAAAAATGTGGCTGGTTTTGTGGCCGATTTCCGATTTGTGACCAGGAGGGCACTGTGCACAGCTTAGATAGCGCAAGACGATAACAGATGAGATTTGGCAGCACTCATCTCGACGATGACACCAACAAATAAACTAATGTTGTGATATACCTCCGGCAACCGGCATCAGTGGGTTGACCATTGCGTTGCCAAGTCGACCCTTCTTGATGATGTAATCGTTAGACACCCAATGGCATATGTGGAATGAGCCCGCTGGCCTACGGATAGCGTTGGTTCAGAACTGGCTGACTGCTCAGTCTTCGACATCGATCAGGGTGCATTGGCTGACAATTTGAGCAGTTGTGACCCTAGTGTTCAAAAATAACGAAAACAGGGCAGAGCGCCTGTGTTATCTGTGGGGCCCAACTTCTCCCCGTTTTGGCTCGAGCGCCCTGTGAGCGGGGCTGGCTCCTGAAGTTGTCGTCGACCGATTTATCGTTGATTATTGGCGCGCCTATGGGTCTGACCGTTCTGATGTTCGTCGGTGAGTGGTAGCCGATACGATGGCGTACCCTGTGCGATTGGTCTTGCGTCTTCATCTGCTCTGGCCGCCGAGCTCTGACATCAGTCCTGAAAAACTCCCCAAAACGGACATCATGCGCAAAACGGACTGGTTTGCGCACGATGGCGCATGGTTATGCGTTAAACGGACTGGTTTGCGCACAATGGCGCATGATCATGCGCTAAACAGAATTGTTTGCGCACGATGGTGCATGATCATTCGCAAAACGGTCAGGTTTGCGCATAATGGCCCATGATCATGCGCAAAACGGACTGGTTTGCGCACGATGGCGCATGGTTGTGCGTTAAACGGACTGGTTTGCGCACAATGGCGCATGATCATGCACAAAATCCACAGACACTTCCCCGTACAATTAACCTCTTTTCTGCGTCAGAATTTGCTAGCTTCGTGTGACTGCGACGTCATGCCGCCGAGATGTGGACCTGGTCTCGCCCCGCGTTCTTCGATTTTTTTGTGTATGGCCTGTCCACGGTAGTCAAAGGTGTGAATGAAATCGTGGCCATATTGCAGTGTTACATGGAAACTTCGCCTGATAGATACAGCTTCCATAGAATTGGCTTACGCTATAGGTAACAAACTTGTGCCGGGTTCCAATTGTTGAAAACTGTATGAACCCGTGATTATTGGTCGCGAAGGTATTAGCCTCTAGAAACTGTGACGGCTGTGCCGGGTCGCTCAAGTTGAAATGTTTCCCATGATTTAAGTCAGGCTCACTTGGCCTTCAGCAGCGCTCGTAAGAAGTGGCTGCGTCAAGTCAAGTCAAGTCAAGTAGGTTCAGCAGTTCCGAGTTGACTTGACATGATCTTCCCGGTATGTATGTCGATATTTTTGATTGGGCATGTCTCTGGGATCCGTCTCACGCTAAGCAGTGGTCGTCGCGTGATGACGGCTTCCACCATCCGGTCGTGAAATTCCGGGTCAGCGTCGGAGTTTTGCGGCGAAGGCTTATCGTGTTGCAATGCTCGGCACGGTCCGTCCCGCCTCTGACGTCAGCTGACCTTTAGGGCGGCCAGCACCACCTGCCGCCCCCGCGGGCATGCCCTGTATGCTGACTGGATGTTACCATCGTATACCTGAGTTTGACTGGAATGGCATCAGACTAGATGACGTATTGCATGAAAACAATATAGATAACACACGAAGGGAAACTTTTCATTTGCTTCTCTGAAGGCCCAGACAGCCGGGAACATTTTGGCTATGACCTGTTAGCATCATGACCTGACCTGGCACCAGTATGCTTGTTACTGAAGTGTGTCAGACTGATCACGTGATGGCCGCTGAAAATCTAGTGGGCCTACCTGGAGCTGTCCGGAAGCTAGGGAACATGGTCAGAGACGTGCTTCTCTGACTATGGTCTGGTCTGGTCTCTTGGCCGCCCGTTTTTGTGCCCCCCTCCCCCCCCCCCCCCCCGCCTTCTTACTCAAAGTGGGTCCCTTAGCACGAACAAGTTGCTAAACATCAATGAAAGACCAAAAGGACTTAATTTCTCGAGCAAACCGGGAAAATGAGGGCAAGTTATTTCCGTGTTGTGTCCTGCCATCTGATCTCTAGGCAGAGCGGTTCAATCCCTCTTCCCATCCGGTTTACTCCGCCTCCCCAGCCGGTCGCGGTTGGCGAAATGCCTCAGTCGGTGCTAAGCTTATACAGCCAAGCTATGCCTGGCGTGCGCACTGCTACGTGTATGAATGACTGGGCCGATGTCCGTGCTTTCCTCGACTGCAGCCGGCTCCCGGGATAGCCCGCGTCGGCTGTGAGCTGGCGTGGACCGTGTGTCGTCCTCGGCTGGTCCGTCCCCTCACCTGGGGTAGCCCGCGTCGGCTGTGAGCTGGCGTGGACCGTGTGTCGTCCTCGGCTGGTCCGTCCCCTCACCTGGGATAGTCCGTGTTGGATGTGAGCTGGCTTGGACCGTGTGTCGTCCCCGGCTGGTCCGTCCCCTCACCTGGGATAGCCCGTGTCGGCTGTGAGCTGGCGTGGGCCGTGTGTCGTCCTCGGCTGGTCCGTCCGCTCATTTGGGATGGCCCGTGTCGGCTGTAGCTGGAGTGGACGTGTGTCGTCCCCGGCTGGTCCGACCGCTCATCTGAGATGACCCGTGCCATGTCTGGAGTCGCCCCGGGGCGACACGCCGTGCCTGCGTGATGGCCCGGCGGGGCATCTCTTCAGTCTGTCTGTGGTCGGCAGGGCCGCCGTCGTCCTTCCTGGACCTGCACCAACCGCGGCGGAAGAGGGGCACCGGCCGCAAGCGAGGCCGGCCGCGCGGCAGTACGTCCCGCGGCCGCGGTCGGGGCGGCCACGCCCCCGACCCCGGCCAGGCCCGCGCGCCGGCCGACGACGTCGACCCCGCAGGTCAGGCCCCGCCCGCCAGCCGTCGAACGTCGCCCATTGGGTGTGCCGTCGGTGGATAACGCTGATTGGGTGTAGGGACTGGTGGTGAACGCTGATAGGGTGTGGAGGCTGGTAGTGAGTGCTGATAAGGCGTAAGGATCTCTTTGGGAGCTGTTGCGGCGGTGGACCTCACAGCGGCGAATCTTGACCAAAGCATCCGAGGTTTTAATTTTGTCCATAAATGTATTCGTCACCTTGCCCTCACCGGCAAGAGGTGGCAGTGTTATGGACGTCCTCTCTGAGGAGACCATGCAGGAGTTCTATAAGCTAGGGGTCATCCCGCTGCCGCTATGAGCGACCTAGTGCTGATGAGCAGCCGAGCCGGGCTGGAGGTCGGTGACCGCGCTGAGGTGCGGGCTCGAGCTGGTGCGTGCCGGCCGGCGGCCGTCCTCAGCAGCCGCTGACGGGGTCCCCTCTGTGTCGGCGCCGGTGTCGCCCTGCACGTGAGCCGGGCGCACCTGCACGCGGCGCACGCGATCGGCGCCGGCGGCGGAGCGTTTTTCCCAGCCCGTGGCCGGCCGCGTGCGGACGCCTTTCACCGCGGGCGGACGCGTGTTGTGTGGTGCGGGCCGCGGCGGAACGCTGGCCTGCCGGGGCCGCGGCGCCTCTGCACGGATGGCGCCGGGCAGAGGGGGATCGGCCGCGGATCAGCCGAGCGCGGCGTGGGAACAGGAACATGGCCCCGTCAGCGACACACGCGCCGCCAGTAGTCTGAGGCAACGCCATCAGCTTGGCAGCCTGCCCGTCTTGTGTCACCACATTCACTCCGGGCGTGTTGGTGTGCGATGACTCAGGTGTCCGGTGCTCTTCGGCTGTTCCCGTGTCTGGTCGGCGCCGGACCCTCCGACACCTGCTGTCTCCCCTCCGTTGTCCCGTGGTGCCTGTGGCCACTGACACCGCCTGTCCCATTGTGGCGGTGACCGTTGACCCACTGTGACCTCTGACCCCTCCGTGCCGACAGTGGCGCCGCCGCCGACCCGGCGCGGTCGCGGCCGACCCCGCCTGGTGCCCGGCTCCGGTCACCAGGGCACGCGGCCGGCCATCAAGCTGCCAGTACCGCTGGCATCCTCCAAGTACTTCCAGGTGGGTGGCCGGTCGATGGGGCGCACATGGCGCGCTCCTGAATGGGTTGCTGTGGCGCTTGGCTCGGAACGTCGTGTATCCTGAATGCGTGCAGGAATGTGTGCGCAGTGTCTGTGCTGGTGTGAGAAGGGCTGGTGTTGGAGTGCTGGGCGGTGGCGGTGCTCCTGAGTCGTGCGTCGGTGCCCGCTCGCAGGAGAAGCAGCAGCGCGAGAGCAGCAGCTCCAGCTCCCCCGGCTTCAGCTTCTACACGGCTCCGCGAGACAGCTGATGGCGGCCGGAGGCGTGCCGGCCCGTACCTGGCCGGCGGGCGGCCTCACCTGTGCTCGCTCGCCGCCTCACCCCTGCCGGCGGGGTCCGGTCTGCTACGGCCGCCAGCGGCGCGGCACGGACCCAGGCCCAAAGCCCGCAGCTGACCTGACCTGACCTCGTGGAGAGCAGGCTCTCTGGACGTCTCTCGCGGCCAGCCCGTCATGACACCGCCGCGCCCTCCAGCTCCGCGCGTGTTGCTGACCGGCCGCGCCGGTGCGCGGGGACCAGGGTCACCAGGGTCTGGCCCTGCTCGTCTTCCCACATACAGGTCGGGACCATGCCGGCCGCGTTTGGGCCGCCCTTAGCATCTGGGAAGCCCGGGCTGACCCCTGCACGCGGCGGCGAGGGGCGCTGCTGAGCCTCGAACTCAGCCCGATGCCGACCTCCCGTATTGGCCCGGCAGACTCCCAGCAGTGTCTGAGGGGACTGGGACTGCTCCTGTGCAGCATTGAGGACCGTGCGCGGCCGGCTCAGTCAACTCTGTTCTGTTCACAGGCCACGTCAGAATGGTGGCGAGAGGTTCCAGTCCCGTGACGTATCAGTGCCCCCCCCCCCCCCCCGCCCTCCCCTTGCGGTCTGGTCAGCCGTTGGTTGGGAGGCGCGCGTCGTCTCTTTGGTAGCCCAGTGAATTCGCGATGGCGCGTGTGTGGTTTGACGTGCGGGCACCTTCCCGCACTGCTGTGATTGTGTGCTGTGCCGGGCACAGTCGGTTATGAACTGACCTATGTCAATACATATTTGTGTGTGTGCGTCACAGCCGTCGAATACAGTAACAATGCGCCGTAGGCGTGCAATGACGATGTAAAATGCGTCGAAGTGGAATGTTCTGAATATCCCGTTAATGAAGTCTTAGTCAGGTATAACATTTCGGTCGCCAGTATACAGTGTAGCTTCAGCTCCGCTCCACGGCTAGGTGTACTGTAATTGAAGCAGATCAGCGAAGGAACGTTTTATCTCAGTGAAGGTTTATTTTGCTGTCTGGCGGCCCAGTCTGGAGCGTTCGCCGTGAGGCTCAACCTGCCCTCCGAGCTGTCCCGGTGTAGCCGAGCTGTGGGACTGAGAGCTTAGCCCGGACTGCGATGTCCCACGCTCCGAGCAAGCACGTGCCATCTGGTGCGGAGATGCGATGCTGATATATTTGTAAATGATGACTAAACATGCATTCTTTGCGGGACAGCTGATCCTTGGCATGCTTTGATAGTTCGTTGTAGGTCCCTCTTGTATGTCCGAGGAGAGCACAACAAAATCTGTGCACTGTGTGTTGCACAACATATTTATTTGAGGTTAAAGGATGAAAAAAAACTGTTCCTGTATCTTTCGGCGCCACAAAACCGAATTGGCTAGTACTTCCTCTGTCGTCTTGTGTTTCTGGAAGTCCACCTCCCTGTGCCGTGCGATGTAAGACCTCGGATGTTTCCGACTGGGAGGATAGATCACGCCCTGTTCGGGCCGCGAGGAAGAACGGCGCCGAGCGTAGCCGCCAAACGCACGAGGCATACGAGCGGTGCACGCGAGAGCGGCGCGGCCAGATGCCCGGCGGTCCACACGCATGGGAGAAGCACGCGACAGGGCCGCCACCCGGACGTGGTGCGTGCCCAGGACGCATGCGCGTTGTCATGACCCAGCCACGCTGTCGACTGTGGCCGTGACAACTCTACCAACCGACCGTCATAAACGAGCAGCCGGTCAATCCGCCACCGCTGCACTAGCGCAGTTTAGTGCAGAGATTTAGCACTAGTACAGGAGGCCGCGGTTAGCAGCATTGAAATGTCACGCTCCCATTGTCTGTGCTGCTGGGTGACATCCCCAGTCCTAGCAGGACCTTCGAGCTATTCTGGTGATTGCGTGACGCAGTCATCTGACGCCTTGAGCAGTCGGAGTTGCGGCACTGTTGCTAATACCTGTCGATTGCTATTACTGCCTGGGCTAGGAAGCCCGCAGCAGGCACTCTTCACGGCCAATGTAAGGCGTGTTAGGGCGCCCGACAATCGCAGTTGTACATCAAAGAAAACCGCCACACGTCAGGCATCTGGGTGAGGAATTTGGAGCGCTTTCGTGCTTAAGAAAAACTGATCTGAATGCGAAGCAGCATACTTAAATTCTTCATTTACATGGCATGCCTTCCAGAAGGCATCGAAGTACGCATGAAGCTCTGCCAGCACGGCAAGTCTGGAGCCACACGCTGGGAATCAATTCATCATTCCGCATTGTTACCAGAAGCTTGTACTCGCCGTCTGGTATGGTTGGGACGGAATGTTGCACCGCAGTACGGGACCCATGTGGCGGCTTCTCGCTGTCCGCTGTGGGTAGAGCAGGTTATTACGGTGTGGCATAGGACCCCATGCGACGGCTACTCACCATCCGAAGGGGCAGACTGCTGTAGCGCAGTGCAGGGCCCCATGTGACGGTTGACGCTTGGCAGCGCCGCCGTCTGCTGCTGCGCTGCGCTGCTGTAGGCTTTTGGAGAGGCTGACCGTGGCTGTGATCAGTCACCCCGGACGGCATGCTCGGTGTGGCGTTGTCGGCAGGACGATTGGGGCTATTGAGTAGGGTAGTAACAAGGGAGTCGGGGCTATTGAGTAGGTTGGTAACGAGAGAGGCGGAGCTATTGAGTAGGTTGGTAGCGAGGGGATCTGAGCTATTGGGTAAATTGGTAACGAGGGAGTCGAAGATATTGAGTGCTTTGGTAACGAGAGAGTCGGAGCTGTTGAGTAGGTTGGTAACAAGAGAGTCTGAACTACTTGGTAGCTTGGTACTTGGTACTACTTGGTACTTTGGTAGCGAGAGAGTCCGAGCTATTGAGTAGACTGGTAACGAGAGAGTCGGAACCATTGAGTACTCTGGCAACGAGAGAGTTGGACCTATTGAGTTCTTTGGTAACGAGAGAGTCGGAGCTGTTGAGTAGGTTGGTGACATGAGGGTCGGAGCTATTGAGTAGTTTGGTGACACTAGGGTCGGAGTGCAGAGTGCGGTAAAATGGTAACGAAAGAGCCTGAGCTTTTGAGTACGTTGGCGCTAAGCGAGTCGGGGCTATTGAATAGGTTTGTGATGAAAGGATCGGCGCTATTATGGGGTTGGTGACAAGAGAGTCGTAGCTATTGAGTAGGTCTTGAACACTTTCGTCTGGCTACTTGCTGTTTATAAGCTGTACGTTTTGTTTGATGTAGATAGCTCGATGCTGACCACCTGGTGCCAAAAACATGTCCTCAATATGCCCTTTTACCAATCTGCCTACACCATATTTTCCGCTCCATGTGCCCGACATCGTTTTTGAGCAAGGACGCTGGCTGTGTGGGTTTCGCTTGAACCACGGGAAAACTGTGAACTGCCTGCCTAGCCTGGCCATCACCAGCTCTAAAGGCTTTCATCTTTGTAAGCGTTTTATCGCAGGCGCGTGCAGGGCTCTGCAACAGGAAGCGTTATTCTGCAGACTCCGTGCTAAAAAAGTAAATTGATTGGAAGTCTCCTGCTCCATTCTGTAGGCCGAAATCCCAATTGCGAAAACTAAACGATAGATAGAAACTAGGAAAGAGCGGGGGTAGACGGCCAGGGTAGGAGAACAGGACACCTCGTCCACAAACTAAACTACAAGCGTTACCACTGCCAAATTAACAAACCACGGCTGCCCAGCACTCGTTACTGGCACGTGTCGCCGGGCAGAGCTAAGCGGCGGGATCTTGTTAAAAAAAAGCGATACAAGTGTTATTTGCCTCTGTTGTGAATATTTTCATTATTTCGGTTTGTCTAGGGCCCTACTTACCTATAGTACAGACTAGAAAAGCTGACTTTTAGCGCATGATACTTTGCAAAGTCAGTGATTATAATATATGGCTGGCAGGAGCCCTGGCAATGTGGCGCCCGAAAAATCTCCGTTTATTTTGTCGGTGGAGGGAGGGGGATAG